CAGCAAGAAGCTTCTCTGATGGTGCCTGAGTGAGGCACTGATCTACGGCCAGATGTATAACAAACCATGCTTGATTGGTCCCTTGCCAGAGCTATTCAGTCCCACTTTTCACCAAAGCACATTGGTTTTCTGGCCAGTACCTCCCTGCAATCTGTAGTTCTGCTTCCAAACAATTGTCTTTCCCTTGTCTGTGCTAGCAGCTTCCTGACAGACCTCCCGGCTCTTGTCCCAGCGGCTTGCGGCCCACTGACCACAGAGCAGCTGGAAACATCTCTGTCGTGTCCTTCCCTTCTGTGAAGCAGGGGTTGAATGAATGTTTCTTGCCTGACTTAGTCAAGCAGTGGGCAGAGGTTCTGACCACAATGGGTGTAGGCAGAGAAAACCCGCATTACAAGAAAACCTTAATGCATTATGAATAATCTCCTTGTGACTTGAACATCCATATTGTGTTCAGTATTTCCATTCTTTATTTTCTGGCCTGCAGTGAACAATGTACTGTTTTGCCAGAGACACCACCACTGTCAGCTAATCAAAGGTCGTCAGTCCTTGGTTATTTAGGGCCTAAACAGCTGCCCAGGTTTAATTAATATTCCACAATTATATCTGGAGAGGAGCCAGTTTTGGAGACAGGTGTCTAAGTGACAGGCAGATCTCCGACTTTCCTTCACACTTCACCTGTTACGGTCCAGTGGGATCCACTCGAAGTTTGCTGGCGACTTGAACTGTGATTTCTCATGGCTTATTCTGTCGGAGGTTCCTGTTTAAATCTTACAAGGGCCCGCTCTACATTCATCCTGCAAGGAGGCCCTAGATTTGGTTCTGTGCAGTCGGCTCTTTAGGCTGTGAACCAGTGGCCATGTGTTGCTGAGGACCCTCGAAGCTGTCAGAAAACACCACACTGATTGTTATGGTGCGAAATGTCACAGCTCATTTGAGGGGATCATCAAGTAATGAGAATGAGGATTCAAATGGGGGGGGCTTACTCTTTGATCCACCAGGAGTTTCAAATGGCAGTGGTCATTAATTCTTGGATTCCCTCTGTTCTTATGGAAAATTGAGGCATCAGAAACTGTCATTTTGTGAACGGATAGCTATTAAAAGCACATTAATAATCTATAGTGGGTAAAGCATATGCCTTTTAAAAAGATTTGCAGCTTGCTTCTCTGTGGCGAAGACACAGGACTGCTCCAGCCTAATTACAAAGCAATCAAACAATTTAATTAATCTGGAAATCACTTTCTTCACAATAACTGCCTCTAAAATGAGGCACCCTGTGCAGTGCCGTTAGGTAAAGCAAGGCTCCAACACACTGCTTGCATCTCAGCCGCGCCTCTGCCTTTTGGGGATCTTGGTGTTAATTACCTACCCAGTGCCTGACCACTGCGAAGGCTTACTTTATCAGGTCAGAGCATCAGCGGGGATACTGGCAGTCCATAAAGTGTCCGAGCACTCCAACATCCAAGAGCCCGCAAATCCCTGGAGCGGCAGGATGTGAGTTACAAGCAAGTGCTGCACATATGGGCAGAGAATTAACTGGCACCGGTTTCTGCTCAAGAGTCTCTCAGGTACTGCTTTGCAGATGGGTGGATGAATGAGGAGAGCAGTGCTGAGCGGAGTGAAGGTCATGTGGAGGACTCCAGTTTCGATCCCTCTCGCCCGCTCTTCTCAACCGGCGCCGTTCGTGTGTTCAGCGGAGAGGACTGCATAGAAGGCAGATGGCATGAATTCCAACCCATCTTCCCCAAATTCACAGCAGTGTGCACACTGTCGAACAAAATAGTATGGCTAAATCTTGAGAGGCCGAAAAGAAGTCCATTTTTATTTCAGATAAGAATGAAACCTTCCATGATTGACTTCCGTAACTCCAGCATACGAATCTTATCGTTTCTTCCTGGGGACAATTGAATTTTTGTTTGGTGCAGGACTTACACATTTATACTCATTTACCCTTCCTGTAGTAGTGCCAGAACCCACTCACCTCTCAGGATTCTCTATTAGTGGGCTGTTCCGCCGTGTCATCCCAGCAGTCTGTCCGCAGTGGCGACACCGGGGTTCACTCCCTGTTCTCTCCTTTTCTGGGCTTGTTTCTAATGCGTCACCATCACTCTCGGTTTGCCCACAGAAATTCTTTCTCTTGACCTTACATGTGCCGGTCCAGCTCCGTCTCCTTTGGTGCATCCAAGCATCTCTACAGCCTGCCACTACCTAACACCAATAAATAGAGTTCCTGAGCCATTTTGTGTACCCCTCTGTATTTCCTTCAGCTGGAGAGCTTGTCTCTGGGACTGCTTTAATGTTTGTAGTGTTTCCAACTGAGCTGTTTCTAATTCTCGGAGGTCCCCACCTACTGTCTTACCTGATGCTTGCTGAACTGCCCTATGACTGAGTACCTGTCTTTCTCTAATACCTTATGAAGCCTTATAGAGCGTTGGTGATAGTCCAGTCACAACAGCATCCCAATTCTTTCTGCACAAACCCAGCAAACCTTGTCAGTGTTGTCAAAACATGGATAGACTTTGTGCACCTCTGTGGTCCCGAAACATCACGTCACTTACTGATACTGTCATTTTAGTTTGTTGGCGTTCACGCTGTGATGTTCACACATTGACAAAAATGCACGGTGACTCCACTCAGAACAGTCTAGTTCTTAAGCGACACATGACTCTTGTGAATGGTGTAGACATGTCTCTTCAGCTTTTCAGCCTACGTCTGCAGAATTCTGCTGATGGCACTTGAGGTTGAAGATGAAAGAGCCTAGGGTTTGGGGTTATGGCAGTGAAAGAGAGAGAAGGAAAATAAAGCTTCAGTGGTACCTGGAAAGGCAGCCCAGGGGGTGAGGCCAAGTCTGGGGATGGCTACTGGAAGCTTTGTATTAGTATTGGCAGCTTTGATTTCTTCGCAGGACAGGTTTGATCAGCATTCTGTGTCTGTCTGTCTCTGTCCTCAAACAAAGATAATCACGTGCTATAAAATGTTTTATAAAATTGTACCTGGCTTCCTAGGGGTCAGTCATTTTCAATTCATCCCTCAGTTCTTCCCCCACCCCCATTTTGTAAAAACTGTTGAATGGGCTCTTTGTTTTCACTCGGCACATTTGAACCCCCAGCTTTAGAGTTTTCCGCCCAGAGAAGACAGGCTAGGGATCGGGCCAGATTCCCTCGATCTTACTTTATTCTTGTGAATGAGGCAGAAAGAATTGTTGTCAGAAAGTCTTGGCTTCAAGTAAGCCATTGTTTTTGTTACAACTAATAATTTACTGGTAGTTTGTTCCCCATGGTGTACAGGCAACATGAATATACTCCCCAAACTTAAAAGAAAAGAAAAACAACCTCTCTACAGTGATTCCAGGCATTAGATTACCCCCTTAGGAAGCAAGGGCTTTTAGCCATCTTGAAATTATTGAGCTCTGTACAGAATGCAGCGAGCGGTACCCAAGCTAAATTAGGAGTGGGAGAAGGAGTGTTGTTGAGAGAAATCAAAATAAGTTAATTTGCTGTGCAGATAAACAGACAAAATGAATCCTGGATTACTGGACAGCGAAAGCAAAATCCATTCCTCCAGGGGCCCCCGGGAGCAGCAGATGCACAGACATGATAAATTTCACTGTGGCAGGGAAGCAGCTCCTTGCTTGGCTCTCTATAAAGAAACCGCTTCTCCGCGCGCTTCCCGTTGAATGGCTTTGATTGTGCTGTCATAAAGTTAATAGCATCTGCTGAAGACAACACTATAAAATTTGCAACCTTACGTTAATTGAAAAATTTCAGTGGCTGATGTAGCCAGTCTCAGAAGTCCTCAAGGTAGCACTAAACTCACCCTCCTGGAGGTGTTGGGCTGTTCTTTTAGCACACTAATAGCAAATTGTTTACCTTCACAGCTGGGCGGGACTTGAAACTGGAAGTTGGAATTCCTTACAGCTGGCTACAGTGGTCACTTACCACTGAGGAGCCCATGATGGGGCAGTGGCCTTGCTGTTGAGGGATGAAAGGCATCTATCTCTCCATGATCTGTTTTTCCACTTTTCAAGAAACCAGTAGGGCTACTTTGCAGCCTTTTCTCACCTCCTTACTGAAACCAGCTCCATTCCCAAGTGGTCCTCCAACAACGCTGTGCCTCTAATTAAATATGCAGGGGGAAGCAGCGTGGTCTGGAGTGTCCTGAACTTGCCCTCGCCAGCTGCCTGCCAAGCCCTGTCAATGATCAGCAGCAGGTTGAGCCGGCTAATGGAGAAAGTAACAAGCCCCAGGGGTACTGCCCTCCTTCCTGTGAGCAATCAGTGCTCCTCTTCTTCTGTGGGGGACTTGAGAGACACGTGCTGCCATCTCCGCGTGGCCAAGGCATTTAGCGTCTGCCTGGCCAGTCACATTCCAGCTGCTTAGAGAGGCAGAGATTGCTGAAGAAAATATTGACAAGGGTAATCCTGCCAGGTTCTTCCAGCAGTGCTAAGATAGAGCTTGGGACATTTTAGACAGAGGTCCAGATGGCTGGATTCTCCCTCAAACTTTATGACTAATTTTGACACATCAATCATTTAAATGTATACTTTGAAGCCTTTATATTCAAGACTTCTTTTTCTTTCCCCATACTGACGCTGTCTCCCCCAAATAAAAGGCATGAACTCAACATCCGTCAAAGTGTTAGCATCTGAACGCACAATACAAAATATATATATATATATATATTTATATATGTACTCATTATTCTATAGACCAAAATACTTAGGTTATTAGAGATCCAGAGGACTGGGGCCGGCGATAGTGCTGAATTGTACATATCCATGTGTCTTGCCCAGTTGGGAAGCTGTGCGGGAACTCAGTGCCCTCCCACCCCACCCCCACCTCTCCGGCTTCCCAGATCCCTTGCTCCCAGCAAAGCTAAAACATTGTTAGTGGAAATGACATTTTGTGGGGGCTGTAAAGAAGCTGATTACCAAGAAGATTCTGGATGTGGATAAACGTAGGAAAACGAAGTGAGATTATTCATGTCTCCTTTGCTCTCCACAGGAAACAGCCCGCAAGACAGTCCAAGGAATTTCTCCCCCAGTGCCTCAGCCCATTTCTCCTTCGCACGGAGGTAAGGACCGCCTATGGGTGGGGCAATAAAGTGGTTCCCAGGGGATCCCATTTCTGCTCCCCCCCCCCCCGCAACACTGCGTCCCACGACTCTTCTAGGGTCCTGTCTTGGGAGATCCTTTTCCTTCTCACATAAAGCTTTTCCTACCAAAGCACCGTGCTAGCTAGAACACAAAACTTCTGCCATGGGGTAGAGTTGGAGGGTGCCTCTTGGTCCTTGGCTGAATGCGAGCCCCCGTGAGGACGTGGAGGTCCTTCTCTGTGTTTTCTTCCATCTGCAGAGCATGCCTTATGCACGATTCAGCCTTAGCATATTTTTACTGAAATTCTTGAGTGCTTGCTATACAGGCTCTATTTATCTATGTCCTGGTACAAGCTTTTGTTGTTATCATATATTGTACGTTGTGTAAAACGGACTCTGATTACAAGGTATGAGTTTGGGGGCATTAACCAGCAATTACATTAAATGACAGATCTGAGATAAAGCAATGCTTTGATCGTTAGGATGTTTTCTGTGATCTTTTCTTTGGGGGTGGGGTGGGGAGGCCAAAACCGGGTTTCTCTATGTAGTCCTGGCTGTCCTCGAACTCGCTCTGTAGGCCAGGCTGGCCTTGAACTCAGAGATCTACCTGCCTCTGCCTTCCGAGTGCTTGGATTAAAGGTGTGTTCCACTACTGCCCAGCACTCTTTTTCTATTAATATTATTCTTAGAATTTGCAGCAAACGTTCAGGAGCTATGCCTCTGTTCTTGGGGAACTGAGTTAAGAGGAAGTGTTCTTACTTAGAAGAATCTAAAAACCCAAGCTTGCCAAGGCTGGTCCCCTGCTGCAGCCTCAGCCATCTCTTCTGATTCGGAATCTGTGTTTTCCTCAGACAGACATCCTGTCTCCACTTCCCCTTCAGTCCTCTCGCATATGTGCCTTGGCTTCTCCGCCCAGGAAAGACAGAATGCAAAATGCCCCTTCAGGTCTCCAAATGATCAGAATCAATTTAATTTACGGTCTGGATGGCCCGTCTATTTGGAAGAATTTCTCAGAGACTTAATTATACCCGAAAATGAATTCGAATAGTATTTACATTATTACAGATCGTATAGGTGTGCTTTTAGATGCGTTTGTTCTTCTACACATTCCTAGTGAGCACACTTGCAGTGTGCACACATGTCAGCAGGTGATACGTTTTATATTCTGAAAACCTAGGAAGAACATTTTCAGGACTCTGTATGATAACTCAGATTCCAGCAGCATTTTCAGAATTCTGTATGATTAAGATTCTATTCGAAGTCCCAATCCAAGAAGGCATGTTTGTCCTTCCATTACCACAGCCAGTTTCCAGCATACGCTCAAGGCCTCTGTGTGTCCAACTGTGGGGAGGGTACAAGAACGGTTAAGAGACCATCTCAAGTAGCTTGCCGGGACCCATATGTGGATCTTAAGATCCAACCTTTTTTTTTTTTTTTTAAAATTAAGATTTTTAACTATTATGCTACAAGAGAGATGCCAAAGCTGCCTGGCCCTGGAAAGTCAGTCTGCCCAGTGACAATTAATTCATGATGGTTTGCTACTCCTCATGTGGAAGGGAGCTGTGCCAGTCAGTAAACAGGTGCCCTCTGTACTCCAAAACGGAGGGTGGGTGCATTCAATTCCCCCGCGTAATAAGTGAATGCAAATCTGACTGCAGTGTGTATTAAAACATGTCAGAAGCCACAGTCTCTTAATCCTGCCAGATTCATAAAAATGAAGAGCATCTAATAATTAACTGGGAGACCGAAGGACAGATGAATCTGGCTTCTGTGCTACAAAAACATGCGCAACCCCCCGAGCATGTTAATTTTTGACAAATACACCATAAACCGTGACTGCAGATTACCACTGCAGCCCTCCAGTTCGTGTTACAGGAGCTACCAGCTGGGGCTCCTTCCACACTCTTCAAAAAGTATTAGTTTCGATTAGGACATGAGCGATCGTTGTCTTACACTTTTGTTCAGGTAAATAGAGCCTTGGGTTCATTATGAGAATTCAGATCGCTGCCTTCTACCTAACATCTGCCGACTCCTGCTGTTTAGAGACGGCTTCCCCTCAGGAAACCTAGGCCTTCCGCCTGGGTTCGCTATTGCCTCCCACTGGCTGTGTGTCACCAAACCTTTAAGAAGTATGCTAGTTTGAGATTTTTATATTCATTATTTTATAGGTTAGCCCAGTAGAGGAAAGGTGGCCCTGTCTTTGAAATCATTTTGGGGTGAAGACATAAAGGTTCAGCTTACTAATCTTCTCTGACCGTAGGTGTTCAACATTCTTCCTGTTCTACCCCTGGTAGCATAATAGTTCAATTATACACTGTAAATTATGATGACACACACTGTTACTTAATAAAAAGATCAAGGGTAAACCTATCAAGGCAGGTTTTAACATACTGAATTTAATTAGAGAGAAAAATAATTATAGTGTTGTGTTCTATTTGGAATAAGGAAATATTTTACACACATACACACACACACACACACACACACACAGAGAGAGAGAGAGAGAGAGAGAGAGAGAGACAGAGAGAGAGAGATTGGTTTTGTTCAAGACAGATTGTCCAGGCTGGCCTTGAACTCAGAGGTCTGCCTCCCTCTGCATTCAAGTGCTAGGATTAAAGATGTGCACCGCAAACACCTGGCTCACATTGTTAATTACAGTATATGTAAAACCTAATTTTGAAAAATCTAAGATCCCAAATATTCAAAAATCTGAAACCCTTAAATTTAAATTCTATTCCCTCCCCCTTTACATATGTGTATGTGTGTTCACTCACGAGTGTGCCACAGCATATGTGGCTTCTAGGGATCATATGTGCTCAGGTTTGCATAGCACATGTTTTTATTCACTGAGCCATGTCATTGGTCTCTGAGTCTGAAACTTACTGGGAATCACTGAGCTGTTCTAAAAGCTGCAGATTTAGGATTGAGGATGTTCACCAGATTTGGAAATATTTTAAAAGAAAAAAAATCAGAAATCCTAAACCTAAAATGCTTCTGGTCCAAAGAACCTTCATCCAACGATGAAGGATTCTTAATCCATACTCATCCAACGATGAAGGATTCTTAATCCATACACTGCAGGGCTCGTCTAGCTGTGAATTGCTTAACATTTTTGCTGAACAGTAAGATGGAGGTAATGTTATACCACTGTCAGATGGTGGGCATCGGCACATTATAAATTGCCTTGGCTTTCATTGGCAATCCAATGCCCTTCATTCGGTGTCTTCATCGTCTTCTCGTTACCTAGTTGCCATTTGCCTGGCTAAACCTCAGAACATATATCTATAAGCAAATTAGAAGAAGTTTGCCTTCTGACTTCAGGTTTTCAGACCGTTGAACACCAGCAGCTCACTAGGGTAACCTCCTGTCAGTCTTACAACTCTCTGGAGCTGGAGCAGCTTTTCGTTGGTGACTGGTACAGGTTAATTTGCCCCAACATTATCTAGACAAGTGTATCGCCCCAGGTGACTATCATCACTAAACATACTAACTTGCTTCCTCTTCATACAGTTAAAATCGTCAGGCTGGTATTGGAGCATCCCACTCTTTCTTTATTGTGTAGTGCCTGAATCTAAATGTTTTGTGACTTGATTTCCCTCACCACCCCCCATAATCTCTTTGTGCCCTGTGTCCTCATCAGATGGTTCCCTCTCTTACTTCTTTTACTTGATGTAACATTGAGACTTGCTCCCACAAAGAAAAGATTCTTTTCAAAAGAGCCTTGTTGATTTGGGAAGATGCGAATGTTGTCTTTGGGTGTTGCTTTATTGGGAGCTACCGAACAGAAAAGACAGCATTGTTAGTCAGATCCAAATAGTGCCTGTGTGATAGTTTCCTTGGAAAGGGGGCACTTTCTCCTCTCAGTAGTGCGTATAGCATATATAGTAACTTCTGATGTGCGGTTGTCATGGTAATGAGAACACAACGGTCCTTTTGCTCCATTTGAGTAAACAGACACAGGCAACTTAGGGAACTTTATGAGACATGAATTATTTCTGGTCCATGGCTGTACCAAGAACTGAGCACATTCTTGTTTAAACATCTTCCTAGTTATGTATTTTCTGGACTGAGCAAATGTAATTTATGCATCAGAACTAATAAGAACATGCCTCCTCTTGGAACTGCTCATCCATCTGAAATACATCTGTGTATACCTGAGGGAAAGGGAGTTAATGAATCACAAATCAAAATCATGGTGGGGGAAATTCAGTCCCTCACTCTTTCCAGAGACAAGTTCCTGATAATTGCTATTAAATGGACTGAATAATTCTTTTAAAATCATATCCTCTTCTCTTCTAAATTAAAAATAGTTAAAATATAAAATTCACGCACTGGTTTTTAAAGATTTTAGTAGGTAGCTGAATATAAGATCTGCCCCTGTCCCATTTAACTGATGGCTGTATCTTTTATGTGCATACTCTAATTATTTTCCTCAGAAATAGTCAACATTTTCACTTGTATAAAAGTCTTCTTAAATAAATATATGACTTATTTGCCCCAGTTCCTTTTCTGTGGTATATTTATAAACATCTCATTTTGCTTCTTCTTCTTCTTTTTTAAACATTTGATTCAATTGTTCTCCAATCATGACCACAGAAATGACAGGTAAATTTCACTAAAATCTATTGTAGTCATTCTGTGATGTGTTCGCTTGACCTCCGTCTTGTTTCTGTGGACCATTTGCTTTTACTGAAGGTAGCATCCATGGTAGCCTGTAAGACCTTCCTTTGACTCTCAGGCTACAGTGGCAGTTTTCTATATCAGCATCTAACTGCAGTTTCTCAAACTCAAGTCTGTTGCCATGGAGTTCTGTGATAGCAACTTCCTTTGAATGTGTTTATGTTAAACCTTGTCCACTGTTGTTGCTCCCTAGGTAAATTAATAGGATTGTGAATTGCAGAGTATCTCTGCATGATCCTGTATCTAAGAATGTAGTGGTGCTACTTTTTGATAAAATGTTTTTCCTGTTTTGCACCTTAAATATTTTGCATGTGTTTGTTTCCCCAGTAACTGATGATACAGTATGATCTTATTTGAAAATTTGGGTAAAGTTCTAGAATTATAGAAATCCCTGAAAATTTCTCTGCCCTTTGTCCTGCTGGCAATATTTCCACTGATAACCAGTGCATAAATTCATTCTAGACCCCTGTGTGCCCCTAACTCTTACCTACAGTCCAGCTCAGAAGCCACCGTTTAGCCACCATTCAGGGTGGAAGCCATTTTCTTGGAGGAGTCTAACAGTTTGGTCTCTAAGACTGAGAAGAAGACTTCACTCTTAGCATAAGTTTCCATTATGACTAGAAAATGTTCCTCTGGCCCTTCAGGTGACTTGTCAGGGTCTGCTGCATGCTTAGACACTCTGCACGTGGCCTTTGCTCCAACAATATGAAGCCAGGCCATGTCAGAAAGCAGTCATTTTCCAAAACCCAAAACCTGAGTTCCAAGCTTAGCTTTCTGATTGTAAAGTTATTTGCCATTTAGTGTGAAGTAACCAGGAGCCCAGTTCTCTCTCCACCTGCTTAGAATAAGTGAAACCATACCCTTAGAAATAAGAGGTCTGCCCCAAGGCCTTGCCCACTGATGGCATGAAGACCCTGGTGAACATCATTGGCCGGTTGTCAGTTCCCTCATAGACCATGATCCCTCCTGTTTCTGCTTGCGCTGCTTTGAATCTGCTGAGTCTGACCATTGTAATTATCCCCTGTATTCATTTTGTCAAAGTGTATTAGTGAGAGATCAATACTATGGATCAACCCATTCACTTTCTACTTGTTTGGGTGAATTGATTCCATTTAAATAAAAGGCAACCTGCTGTATAATGTTTGTTTACCCTAACCCTGGCCAAGCATCCCCACATCCTCATAGACTATGTTGATGTCATTTGTTTGATTGGAGATACCGGGGTTCTCTAGGGTTTTCTGGTATCAGCTATTCACCATTGACCTAACTGAGCTTTGTCCCACAGGACGGACGGGCGTCGTTGGTCCCTGGCTTCTCTCCCCTCCTCAGGCTATGGGACAAATACACCAAGCTCCACGGTCTCTGTAAGTATCTGAGTTTTCTTTTCATCTCACAACCACAGAACTGTATCTGCAGTCTGTGTTTCTCTCTGAGTGTTTCCCAGTGGGAAGGCCAAGATGGAGCCCACATTTCTACCTTGGTATGGGATGTGTGTCAAATGGTGGACTAACAAATGTCAGAAGGGCACACTGTTGCTGCAAGCTTCCAAACTATGGGGCATAAATTGTCCAAGGCCGGGGATGACAAGTCTGGAGGAGAGCGAGAGCCTTCCTTTTAATAGCATTTGGTGCGGTTTGGGGAAAACAACACAGCCTGATATCATGGCTTTCCTTCCATGCCTGGTGTAGTCATGCTGAAGACACCATTAAATTATGATGGACTTGTTCTTTTTCTGTGTGGTTAATATGGAAGCTTGTTTTGCTTTGTCTCTCCTTCAAAGGATGTCCCTCCCACCCTCCCCACACAGTGTCATCAATTTTTCAGTGCCCTAACAACTTTTAGAAAGGCAGGCAAGTAACTTAGTAAATCCATGGGAAGGGATGGAGAAATAGGAGATTTCTCTCTGGGAACATTTCAAACCCAGGCCTGGCAGTTACTGAGAACTGTTCAGTAGATTAGATACAAGCATTTCTGGCTTAAGCTAGAGAGTGTCTGGAACCATAGGGCTTTGGGAATCAGGTGATCATTGGGAAAGACCCAGGAGGTCCCACAGTATTCAATGAATGCCTAATGAGGGGTTCTGACTGCCCTGCATCCACCAACTCAGACTGAGTCCCCGGGACTATAGAGCCTTTTCTGATTCAGTTCCCCCCTCTTTTGTCAAAATCCAGATTTGCTGTTCAGGCATGCCTACCCGCAGCATTGTGCTAAGCATGTAGCCGCTGATTAATGCTCAAATGATAAGAAACTAAAACTTGCTAGATGAACTAACAAGTATCAGTTCCTGTCTCCCCTCCCCTTCCCCGGGGCCTTCACATTTGTGTTTCCAGAAGCCCGAGTGTAATGTTGGATTTCTGGGCACCTCTAAAACCAAATTGCTAACATCTGCTGGGCTCGTTTTACGCCCCCTTAGAGTAGTGCATGGTGATAGGTCATTTATTTCCTGTCTTCCTTCTCACTTTGTTGTGCTAGGTGAGTTTCCTGTCCATTTGCGTCATTTTTTCTGAGTAGGTTCCGTGGCACACCGGCTTTACGGCAGTAAAACCCCGGGTGTTACCAGTGGGTAAAATTGTCACTAAGTACCAGCGAGCTTTTACTTCACCATTATAGCAGTGGCCATCACTGGTTATCCCAGATGTGAAAATGTAGGACTAGATTGCCAAAATGAGTGATAGAGCTGACTCCGCGCAGAGTAATTTAAGACGGAGTAAGCGCTGTCCCTCCCTAGACCCTTGGGTGCCTGTCACTGGGACCATGCCACAAGTAAACAGAGTGCTCATTCTTAGCTCTGTGGCTTCCTTATCTACATTCATTTTAGCTTTTATTAAATTATAGCCATTTAATAATAAAAGCTGAAATTCAAGGTTTTTGACTGTAGGTTCCTTTATTCTCAACTTTATCACATTACATCGCTTTCGGTCAATGGTCATAACAACAGTTCAGGCGACAAATCTCTTTTGCATGGAAAACGAGAGTACAGAGGCACCTTTTTCTAGGAATCACGTATCATGTCGTTTTCTTAACGTGAAGGAGAAACGGTGAGGAGGGTACATTGAATCAGACCATTGGATCTAAATAATTTTTAAAATTATGCTTTTATAAGTGTTATAAAATAGGCACTGTTGAGCTCCCTAAAACGTCTGGGCTCCTTCATGCTGGCAATATATTGTGTGATGTTGCTGCTGTTTTGTTGTTGTTGTTCATCATTTTATGTATCAGAATTCTAAAACAGAGAAAATTATTTGAGGGACTGTTTACTCATTCCATTATTTTTATCTATACAAGTACAGCAAGTGGTCCAGACCCTAATGTCATGGTTCTTTTTAGGCCATGTGAGTGGCATTTCTCTGGCTTTGTGGGTGATCTGCATGAAGACAAATGTCTCCAAAGATCAAGTGTCTAAAAGAAACCCTGAGACCATTTTTATACACACACACACACACACACACACACACACACACCAAGGCATTTCTAATAGCTTTTCTCTTACACATTTATGATTTATGTATTGATGGAGGTAGGAGGCAATTATAGGTCTCAAATTCCCATTTCTTCCTTCAAAATGAAATTCTAGTTTCCATAATTTTTCTTTTTGCCAAAAACTAGGACTGTTGGATCTGGTCTATGCGCGCTGTGGTGTAGATTGGGCAGCTTTTCTCCTCGTTCATTTCTAGAAGGGACAATGGAAAACGACAAAGCTTCTGTGTTGGTTTCTGTCCTTAGCCTTCAAATATCAGCACAGTTGTGTCTGCTGGTGACTTAGAGGTTCTACCTTCCCACTCCCCAGCTGAATCACTCATATAAGTCTCATTAACTATTGGTCATTTAGCCGATCAAAAATGTACTTTTTTTTTTTTAAAAGGAAAAAGAATATAGGTTATATACAGATAAAACTAGAAGCCTTTTCAAATGCAATTCAAAAGTTCACAAATAATTGTGTTATTAGCTGAACTCCAGACCTATTCATGCTGAAGTGTAAATGTTATTATATCTTTTGGCTATTACAGAGACTGCAGAATTGCCAAGTGTAAAAAATGTTATGTTCCAAAATTAGACAGATTTTTGTCATATACAGTTAGTCTGTTCTCCCAGAGAACATTTAGTATTGTCAGTTCCTTTAGAGTGAAATTTGGTAGTGAAAATTAATTTGTGGAACTTCTGTATGCTAATATTCACATCATAATTTTTAATTTTGAAATAAGCAATATGGAATTGCAGTAGTGGGGAGATATTTCTCACCAGATAAATTATTTCCCACTGAGGGAAAGAATGAAAATAAGAGTTTACATACCCATAAATATGAGGTATGGCTGTTAAATCATACTCTTTTAGTAATAACAAGTAGGAATTTATGCATGCATATAAGGACTAGTCTTCACAAAGTGGTTATTGCGAGAGAGGAGATGTTTGAGTGATGTCCTTATGTAGAGAATGTATTTGAAGTCTAATTGCATGAAGGAAGAGTAGCAGTTTTTAGTGTAAATCTTCATTCTTTGAGAGTGGCTTTGATTTTTGGTGTAGTCAAAAGTAGTTAATGAAACACACTAGCCCCACACTGGGAGAAATAGCAAGCACTGAAATTTAGTATATTTGAAAACTTCTGTATTGTCTTGAAATTCTTCTAAAAGTGCTGAGCCAAGGAGGCTTTCTTCAACAGAGATATCTTTTGAATAAACACACGAGAGTCAGGTGTGGTGGTGCATGTTTGTAGTTCCAGTTTCTTCCAAGGCTGAGGCAGGAGGATCATTTGAAACCAGGGAAGCCAGCCTAGGTGGCACAGTGAAAGACTGTCACACATACACACTCAGTGAGAAACACTGAGCCTGCTGCTTTTGAAAATTAGCTTTCACTTTCAGAAAGACAGTGTGACCGCTGCTCTGAACACAATAGCCCATCAGCCACAGAACCAGCAAGTCATAATCCAGGATATCAGTATTTCCGTAGCAACCTGAGTCAACATTCACTCTTAAGTGGACTGAATATCCTCCACAATTCCCTCTCAGCTCAGATGGTGCTTTGCTACTCAGAGTGACTGCTGTAAACTTAGTGGGTTTGTAGACAGAAATAAGTGTGGACACGGATTTTCCTAAGAAGATACAGATAAGGTGTGTGTGTGTATGTGTGTGTGTGTGTGTGTGTGTGTGTGTGTGAGAGAGAGAGAGAGAGAGAGAGAGAGAGAGAGAGAGTTTTTATTCTGTTCATTCTGTTCTTAGTTCTCTCTCTCCCTCTCTGTCTCTCTCAAGTGTATACATTTTGTTTGTTTTTAGTTTTCCCACTCCCCCCCCTCGTGTGTGTGTGTGTGTGTGTGTGTGTGTGTGTGTGTGTGTGTGTATGGGGGTGTGTGGGGGTGTGTGGGAGTGTTGGGTTTGGGCTCTTCTGGTACTAGGGATTGGGCCTAGGGCCTGTTGCCTGGCACATGTGAACTCTTCCACCACTGAGCTGCGTCCTCAGGCCCCCTGTATAAATTTCTCCCATTTTTCATTTTGTTAATTTCCTTATCTTTGCCGTTACCACCTCTGCTTCTCGATGTTTATGATTCTTTGCCCAACTTTCTGAATTGATTTAGTTCATGTGTTTTATTCCTTTTCTCATAGTGGAAGTATTTTAGGAGTGCCTGTTTACCCTGAATATAGCTTTGGTTTATCTCATAATTTTTTTCTACTGTTCTCATTTTTATGGTTTATAAAATAATCTCATTACATTATAAAAATCCCTGTCTATCTTACTGTGGACTTAGCAGGGCGTTTTATAATTTCAAGGTGCAGGGCTGTTTTCAGCTCTGGTCATTAATTTCGAGTGCCATTGCGCTGCGGTCCTTCAGTATTCGGTATTTATGGAGGGTGACTCTCTTGTGAGGACGGTTTTTCTGTCTTTTTGTTTTGTTTTGGACTCTGCTTGAACTGACATTTTTCAGATGAGTACCTTTTAAAAACGTACGCTTCTTCTAGTTGTGTTTCCTTGTATTCCAGATTTCTCAGCATCTTTTATTAGCATTGATTTACTGAGTTCACCACTCCTAAAACCCAAAGCCAACAGTTCCTTCATTGTGCAGTTCCCAAAGTCAGGTTCTTTAAAAATCTATTTTTATCTGCTTGCCTTCCTATCACATTCCAGATGTTGAGGGATGTTTGTTTTGTTTTTGTTTTTGTTTGGTTTTTCGAGACAGGGTTTTCTTGTAGCTGTGGAGCCTGTCCTAGAACTTTCTTTATTGGCCAGGCTGGCCTCGAACTCACAGAGATTCACCTGCCTCTGCCTTCCGAGTGCTGAGAGTAAAGATGTGTGCCACCACCTCCTGGCAAGGGATGGTTTTTAAGGAGTAAATCTATAGTGAGGGGTAAAGCCTCAGGACTACTGAAGCTGTTCAGTAGAGAAGGGACATTCTCCCCCTCCCATACCCACCCACCCCACAATAAGAAAAGGAAAGAAATACTCCAGAATCAAATAAAGAAGTGATATCACTCAGGAAAATATCCGCTTCTCTGTCCTTCCTTTACGCTCATAGCACACATGGGTGGCATTGGCATCAAAGAACAGCATGTGTTTATTGAGGGGGCTTTCAGTGCCTTATGATCTCACAGCGTATAATCATGTTACTTACTACAAGTCAGAGTGTTTGCTGGGAACAGCAGCAGGAGTCTCTTCAGCAAGAGCTGATCCATCATGGCAGGCTGGCTCCAGGCTTTGCTTTCTTCCTCAGGCTTTTGCTGGCGTTTATCCATCTCACGGGTTTGGTTTTCTCCCAGAAAAGAAACTGCTTTTGGGAAGCAGGCAGGTCGGGGACATCTAGAAGGCATGTTGAACTCTCAGAGCGAAGTCACTTCATGCATCTAGGTTATAGTTGCTGTCAGAGAATCAACATAAACAGTGCCTTTGCCTAGCACCCATTCATCTCTCGAGAATCTTTTTTTCTGGAGGCGGGCTGCTAACTTTACTTTGATTTCTTCCAGTCATCCTGCTCCTCCCAGGAGAAGTTGCACCAGTTACCGTATCAGCCAACCCCAGATGAATTACACTTCTTGTCCAAACATTTTTGCACCACTGAGAGCATCGCCGCTGAGAACCGATGCAGGAACACGCCCATGCGTCCCCGTTCCCGGAGTCTCAGGTGCGTAGACTTGACCCAGACTGGTATTGACTTGAACTGTTTGCTTTTGACCATGTCTTTAATTTGTATGTGTGCGCCCTGATTTGTGAATTGTCACAAATATGAGTGTAATATTCCATCAATAGATGACATTGTTAATTACCATAGACAGGCTTCATATTTCTTTTATGTTTTCACAAGAGACTAATTGCTACAAAAGCCTTGGGGACGATCTATAAAAATGTCTAGCAAAGGGAAGTTCAAGGTCAACTAGTGATGGTGCAAGAGCAGTTCATATAATCATATGAAGTGGGAGGAGTTTGCTGAAAGGAAGAAGAGAATAGATGGAAAGATATTTTCCCTAGGCTCTATAGTATAAAACCTGTCTTAGTCTTCTTATTCTGTATTCCCACCTAAGTCTTACTTTCTCCAAGATGATGAACACATTCTTAGGACTTGGTGTTTTCTGAGTTTTGTGCTTGTCAAATGCAGTCCTTTGAGTATTGAATAGGGCTGGTCTCATACCATGCTTTGATCTGTAACATGAGGGCCAGCTTGTTTGTGTTTTCTGTCCTGCCCAGTTCCCCACAGCCAGCTTGTTCCAAAGAAAATAACACAGAGGACTCCATAAGTTATAAAGCTGATTGGCCCATTAGGTCAGGTTACTTATTAGCTAATTCTCACATCTTGATTAATCCGTTTTTCTGATCTATGTTAGCCATGTGGCTCAGTACCTTTTTCAGCTGGCAGATCACATCCTGCTGCTTCGGTGATCAGGGCAGGAGTGGAAGGAATCAACTTCCTCCTTCCCAGAATTCTGCTCTCCTTGCATCATTTCCACTTCCTGTCTGGTTTTCTCATCTACACCTCCTGCCTGGCCAATCAGCGTTTATTTAAAACATGATTGACAGAATACACACAATTCTCCCACACCAGAATTGTAGGTTTCACAGTTATGTCTCCAGGTGGCAGTGTCTCCATCCAGGAGGCCTGTGCAGGATATTTGGGAAAGTGTTGTGGTGATTCTCATCGGTGGATTGAAAGCGGGGAGCAGGCCTGGGGAGAAGGAGGCATCACCATATGGTACAGGCCCATCAGCTTTGGCCCACCTTGGCCTGGGATCCCTCCATTTAAACCCTTGCTCCAGCCATTCAGTCATTGGCCTTGTCATAGCAGCCTCCTGGGAGGCCCTGTCTCCCTGGGACGTTCCTTCCCACAGCTGAGGCTAGCCTGGAAGAGAGATAGGTAGCTCTAGGCTTCTGTTGATGGCACGGCCAGCAGCTGGGCCACAGGTCTTTCCTAGACAATGGAGTCGGAGCGTTGTGTCTCCTCATCAACAACATGAGATCTTGATGGGCAGAATTGGTATGTGTTGATCTGCTAAAGTTTTATTGTTTAAAAAGATTAGCTTGCTGGGTATTGAGTTCAGCATGAGGGTTTACTAAGAAGGGGTTTCCCTCCGTATCTTCCCTTTTCATATAGTATCATAAACTAGGACCAAAGGAATCCATTCTGGATAATAAAGAATATATGAAATTGTTTTGAGATTTACAATTAAAAAATAAATAAAAACGTTGCCACTGTATCTAGCATCACCATGGTTTATTGCAGGGGTTCCACTTTTAATTCTCTTGAAGAAGTACCCAAGGCATCTGGCCTAAGCTGTATCTATCTATCCAAGAATATAGGTGCCCCCAGACTGTGTGACTACCTCCCCAGAAAGGACACAAAGTGACAACCGTAAAGAAGAAGACAACAGTTGCATGCTTCCGTTTTCATAATGCCTACCTCAGCCTCCTCAATAAATATTTGTTAGAGTGGAAAATGGATTTCCCCACAGCACCTGTGCCATGGAAGGCTCCCCGCCTCTCTGGTGGCGCGTGGCCGAACACAGGTGTATGATCGAAGTGTGAAATTGCACCGTTAAATGTATCTTGGATGTTGTCGTTAGTAGCCACCCTGTTTTGTTTGATACTGCACCTCGTTGACTGGTGGCCACAACTACACAAGCTCATGACATAATCGCACCGCAAGGCCATCTCCTGACCGAGTACCATGACTGTAATTATTCTGTGGCATTGCACTCCCAGAGCTTACGTTATGTATCCTATCTGTGGTGTCTGTGTGAGTTGAGGTATGTATGTGTATGTGTGTGCCAATGACTGACCTTGCAGTTCGTTATCTAAGACAGCTGCTTCTCATATGAGGGTTGCATCGCACTTTTTCCGATGCAACTGGCTGTTTGTAAATAAAAGGCTTATTTCCATCTCATGCGGTGGCAGGTTTAAAAGGGTAATTTGCTTTGCTTGCAGCCCTGGACGTTCCCCCGCCTGCTGTGACCATGAAATAATTATGATGAACCATGTCTACAAAGAAAGGTTCCCAAAGGTAAATGGATGGGATTGAAGAAGCCTGGCATCTCACTGATCGGGCACCATAGGCTTTGCCTCTGCGAGACGGTTTTGTTAACACAAGTGAGGGTCCAGCCCGGTAATGACTTGAATTAAACAGCACCATAGCCTGCTTAGGAGGAGAAAGCAAATAAACAGATGTGAAGCGAGCAACTGCTGAGAACTCAGTGCCCTGTGTGGTGTATGTTGCTGGTGGGTACCCAGCAGCAGGGGCCCTGGCAGGTACAGGAGGAGAGGCTCTACTCTCAAAGGCTCTACACCCTTTGGACTCTGTTCCTCATCTACTACACGATTGTCAAGAGCACCTGGTTTGTTTGTTTGTTTTTTCTCAGAGGCTATAGTGTCCTGAACACTGTTTTTATTCTTTGAAACCTCCTTTTCCTTTCCCATCTTCTGTCCTAAACCTTACTCCATAGCAGTAGAGATACTTTGGCGTGTTCTGCTGCTCAGCTGGTGAAAGGGATTAGAACGAAGCCAGAGTGCAGTGTGAAGGCTTCTTGCTGGGTCCTTTGGTGGCCAGTAGCACTTCTCTGAGGGACCCCTTCAACCAACCTCAGTTCCATGCCCCCTCAGCCATGTTGCTCTGCACAGCACTTGGGCCATCACCTACTGCTTTTGTCGCTAGCCACATGAGAACAGAGGGAGGTCTTAGGAGTCATAAACAAGGAGCAGGGTACTTATTATTGGTAATGAACCTACCATTGGTGGCATTGATTAGCACTGTTTTACCTGTTTACCACGTGTCGCTTGCCCACCAGGAAAGCTGATATTGACTATGCTTAGTTAATGAGGCTCAATGTTAAGAGGAGAACAAAGGGAAGAGGAAATAATCTCTCTGCCTATGTAGCTCTTGTAGACCGGGAATATTGATTAGCCAGTAGGCAATCACAGGGAAGAAAAGGAAGGGTGGAAAAGAAATTGTAGATTTTTTTTGAGGGTATCCCCTTGGCCATGAGCTAAGGAGACAGTGTTTGCAGTCAAGGATAAAGTGCTATGTGTATATTCCTGTCACACTGAAACCTTACCAAGAAAACAAACTTTGGCTCTCTCTGGGTAACTCGGGCACAATCCTGAGTTTTGAATAACAACTAAAGAAATACTTTATTGTTTTGATAACCCATCTGAAGGGTCTATGCATATAGCTTGGAGTTATTTTAAGGAGCTTGTGTGGACCAGCTTATATTCAATAAGACATCAGCAGAGGGGAATCGATGACCAGAAATACACGTCTTCATTTGATACCTCAAAGGTTTATAATTTATATTCCCTTTGATGAGGTGGTATCTCCCCCTTCTTCACCCCCTTTCTCTTTATTTTTAAAGCAGTATTGGCTTCCTAATGGAAAGCACAGGAATTTTCTTTATGGCTCCTTCCCCACATGTGCACACCTTCTTGTAGTATCGTCCTCACCAGACTGGTGCATTGGCCAGTGGTTGATGAGGTTCTCAGAGGCAGCGTTAATACCCCTGGTCAACATTCACACTCATTCTTGGTGGTATTCGGTCAGTGGACTCAAACTAATGTAAACTGATGTGTGCGCGCCATGCTCATAGCATGCAGGAGGGAAGTTTCTTTTCTCTGGTGTGTGTGTTGTTATTATTGTTCTTAGAATGAGTACAGGACCTCATTCATGCTAGCCAAGTGCTCTGCCAGTGAGCTCCACCTCAGGCCCCCAAATGAGGCTTCTTTCTCAGGAGTCTGTTTAATAACTCAGAGAGGTCTGGGAGAACGGAAGAGTGCTTGTTGCGTGGTTCGTGCCTATCTCCTGGTGTTATACCTGTGTGTGTCTCCCCCCAACAGGCTACGGCTCAGATGGAAGAGCGTCTAAGGGAAATCATCACCAGCTACTCCCCAGACAATGTCCTCCCCTTGGCAGACGGAGTGCTGAGCTTCACCCACCATCAGATCATCGAACTGGCTCGCGACTGTTTGGACAAGTCCCGCCAGGGCCTCATCACGTCACGTTACTTTCTAGAGTTGCAGCACAAGCTGGATAAGCTGCTCCAGGAGGTCAGGGCAACGCGCCGTGCACGCGGTTTGCTTCTGATTTGCTTTGCCTTTCTTTCGGCAAAATATTTTCTCACGAAACCATTTCCTTATGAGTCCTTAGTGAAAAAAAAAAAAAGTGGAGTTCACATTCCAGGAAAGCGGGCGGGGGGGGGGGGGGACACGCACAGGCATGCACAGCAAGTGTGCAAGCAAACGTAACCTGCTTGCGACCTACTGCGAGTTGGCTCTGGCCATTATGTATAGTAGGAGAAAGTTAATGTAATCATCTTTACGGGGACCTTGGGACCCAACAATCTGTGACTCTAGGATAAGTGGATTGTGAAGGATTATTAAGCAGCCATTCCCTACCCCCCACCACCACCACAACTTTCCCTATAAAATTATAAATTGCCTGAGTGTATGAGAGTTGCTTGATGAACCTATCTAATTTTAATATCTAAAAAAGCTAAATGGAAAATTGCTGGCTTTTACTAGACTGTGTGTCCTATTAATTAACCTGCATGTGCTGTTGGGTAGTAAATGGCAACTTCTATTTTCCTGAGTATTAGTTCTTCCTCTAACAAAATAGCCAATTTCTGAAATGACAGATAAACAGGGGCTCCCATCCGTCTAGCACTCTCATGCCTGGCTCCTGATAACACCCAGGAAGGGAAGGGAATGTGTCGGTGGAATAGCATTAGTGTATGATACAGCTCTTCTGACTAAAGTTGATTGGCCGCAGCCTACCCGGGAAACCTATTTAACCTATATGTGGATTTATAGTGCTTATGTGTCTCATAGGGCATAAATTATATCCGTGTAAATGTAATCCTGGCAGGTTTTTTTTCTCTGAATGACTATAAGTAATCCCACTAAACTGGAGGAAAATACTAACATCCTACTTTTGAGAAACCCATCTGTCCTTCCCCCGACGCAACTGAGTTCTGGCAGGATGAGAAGATGCCTCTCTGACTGGCAGCTGCCATTTCCCTTTCTTTTCTCGTCCAAGTTTCCCAGCGGCATTTTCGCCATGGTTCTTCCCATTCCTCGCACATCACTAGGAAAGCAGTGCTCCGGAGATTGTCAGGGAGGGGGACATACAGCTTTCGGGCTTGCTGGTTACCAGTTGACTGTTTGACAACCAGTTCTGCCGTAAACTAAAGTGGAAAGGGAGGTGCATGGGAATGGCTGTGTACCTGCATATCCTCCTGGCCATGTGCACTTGCTGGGAGGACTGCTCAGGCTGAGTCGTGCTAAGCCCACCACGGGTACACTGATGGCAATGCACGGACCAGCACTAGTCATGGACATAAGGACTCTGCAAAGCCGTGTGTTTTGGTTTGTTTTGTTTTGCATACCATAATGGCTTGCAACATGTAGAGGTTCCCAAATATTTTCTCCCCTGAATGACTTCTGAACTCCTCTTATGATACTCACCGATGTCCTGTCCATAGAATCCACTTTCAGTTTACCGGAGCAGGCCCCTTTACTGCAGTGCCTACACCCATCTCATTTCCATCCCTTGACTGTTTCACTTTCATTTTGGTACCTCTCCATCCATTTCTTCCCTGTTTGTTATGAGGATTTCCTTCCCAGCTCGCATTTTCTATGAGTGAGTTTTTTTCAGTCTCACTGTGTGCCCCTGCTTCTCCTCCCTCTGCTGGTGATCTTGTTGTCTGTCTTGAATGACAGTTCCTTGGACTTTAGTGGCTTTCAGTGCATATCTTAGGCCAGCAGCTTGTGCTCAGACTTAAGATTCACGTGTAACCTGCCTCTCAGAGAGCTTTGTACTTGGGCAGCCTTCCAGAGCAGTGGTGGGTAACCCCAACATGGCTCAAGTAACTTAGCACACTCTTTTTTTTTTTAATATTTATTTATTATGTATACAATATTCTGTCTGTGTGTATACCCGCAGGCCAGAAGAGGGCACCAGACCCCATTATGAGATGGTTGTGAGCCACCATGTGGTTGCTGGGAATTGAACTCAGGACCTTTGGAAGAACAGGCAATGCTCTTAACCTCTGAGCCATCTCTCCAGCCCAACTTAGCACACTCTTAACTGGAGCTTTGAGTACTGAGGGCTTTGCCTCTGTCTTGGTTAGGGTTTCTTTTGCTGTGAAGAGACACCATGGCCATGACAGGTGGCAGTTTACAGTGCCAGAGGTTTAGTCCTTTATAGGGCCACCCATGGTAGCGTCATAAGGACCAGCTTAGTCCTGTGTTTTCTTGTTCCTCTCTAGACAGTTCCTGATGGAGGTAGATCTGATACCCAAGTTCCTCAGATGAAACCCCCCCCTATATTTTTGTTGATATATGGCAGACGTGACAGATTGTTTCATGGCAATTAAAAATAAATCTTAACATTTTATGGATCTTCTGGGTGGGCGGTGTGACAGATGAAAAGGTTCATTTTTAGAGACATTTCTCTTTGAGCCGGAGACGCACGTATACCAGTGGCCTAAAGGTCGCTGCTGGGAAGGAGTAAGGATGTTTTCTTATGCCTCTTTACAGATACAATTTCTTCACATCATTTACAACAATTCAGTCTCCCTTGAGAGACACATTGCCAGTATCAGCCCAGAGCCTGGAGCAAACCTGTCTGAGAGGAACATGCTCCTTCTAGGGAGAGCAGAGCTGTGGGAACATGCTGTGACCTCTCTGGCGAGCTCTTGTCCGTTCTCAGATGTGACGCTCTGAGCCCAGCAAGCCTGTCTCCTTACCGCTTTTCCTTTGGCAATCTTACGCACAACCCCAGGCGCTGATCACCCTATGGTTCGAATACCCTGATTTAACAGATGCCCTTTAAAGTCCCGGGGTTGAGGTCAATTTCAGATAAATGCTTTTATGTCTGCAGACCTCTTTTTCACTGAGGTGTGTTTAGCCAAAGAAGACACAATACAAAGGAAACTCTAGCTCTCAAATCTGGGTCACAGGTGTTTCTCAGTGGTGGCCAACACTTACAATGTCGACTCAGGGACTCTAGTGCCTTTGGAGCTGTCCCAAGAGACCAGGAAGCCACTTTCTTCTCATGCTGTGCCCCTTCGCTGGATCTTCCTGCACCAGTTTGGTAGATAAAATGATATAGAGATAGAACTCATATGCCTTGCAGTAAGACATAGCGGATAATTGTTAGAAGTTGGGATGTGTCGCCATGTTTATGGGTTTTGAAAGGAAATTTTCAGTTTGAATTGGCCATATCCCCTTTGGGGAGGACAGCGGTGTACCTCAGTGTCCTAGAGAGTCATTATATTTATAAATTCATAAGATAGCAATTATGATAGCAACACCCCCTCCCAGTGTCACCAAGAAGTTAGATAGGCTTTTTGTATGTTTCTCAATTTATCTTTGGAGATCTGTGTTTCGTTACTGATAAACTACAAAAGGAATATGCCATGTTTCTTAGCACTCACTGTATTTTCCAAAATTCCTTTCTTTGCATAACAAATATTGGAAGAAAATTTAAAGATTGCTTGTGTTTGAGGTGAGGGGTATTTTTTTCCCTAAAGATATAGAACATATTCTACAGTTATTTCCTCATTTTTATTTTCATGCAAGCTGTTGTTTGGATATTAGCTTAAATGCAGTATATATGTTAGGATCATTTTTCTTAAGTTTAGTCTACAACTGAAGATAGGGCTTGTCATCGGTGAATACCCTAAGCTTGATAAAAAATGTTTCTTAATGTTTCTGAAATTATAACCTATGGCACCAGAAATGCATTGGTTTCTTTTCCTAAATCCTTAAAAATGTGTATCATCAAACCTTAAAATTTCTTATATTTTTTAGTTGTGAACCAGCCTTTAATGGCTGAATGAGGGACAAAGGGGAGGGTGGAGGGGCATAGGGGAGGAAGGAAAAGGAGTGGGAAACATGTATAGCTCAATAAGAACAATTAAAAATGCAAACAAAACAAAAAGAACCTTAAAAATTATGAAAGCCTTAAAAAATGAACATGAACGGTTTCCATTCAGATTTTTATCCTATGCCAGCCTTAATATTGTATTGTTAGATTCCTTCAAATAGTATTAAAAATGTCAGTGATAATTAACAAGTTGAGCCTTGCTGTTGCAATACTTACTGTGTTTAGGCAACATGTAAAATCAAATTTAACACACATTTAAGCCCATTCAGTGTGCCTGAGCTGAGTGCCTGGGTGTTATTTATTCCACAAGTGTCATGGAATCTATGTGTATATCAGAATATAAACAATACTTCACATGTGCACTGGGACTGCACACATCCCACAGGTGATAAAATAACTATCTTGCAGGTTCATCATACCGTCTGCATAAACTACATTTCATGAGCATGTTAGATGCCCATGTTAGACGGCTAGGATCGCAGAAGCATTCCACATCTGCCTTAGACATGTACGCCCACAGTGTCGCGTCGGCTGAGTCCAAGTTCTAGTCCAGCTGTCTCTGCTGGCATCCCGTTCTTAGTGGGACATAAAGTTAATGTCTCCTTCATTCATGGCTCATGTTAACAGGTCCTTATCCTTACATTTGATTTCTACCACACAATAAATCAAAGTATTGCAATTAAACTTTAGCTAATAGAGCTATTTTGTAGATGTCTGATAGTGTCCATTTATGTTAGAGATAATGCTTGTTAAAAGTGTTTTTTAAGTCACTTAATTTCTGATTTAAAAGAAATTACCTAATTAGCATGCTTTGCTGATTTTCTTTCCCATTTAGTGGAGCCCTCTGTATCATTTTTCTGCTCATTGCTTTTTCATAGGCTCATGATCGCTCCGAAAGTGGAGAACTGGCATTTATTAAGCAGCTAGTCCGAAAGATCTTAATTGTCATTGCCCGCCCCGCTCGGCTGTTGGAGTGCTTGGTGAGTTGCCTGTAGATGTGACTGTGCTATTTATTGTTAACTGTGGGAAGTAGCGACCATCGGAAAGCTCCAGTCCACGGGTGCTAAATAGAAAGAGACAGGAGGGCCTACAGCCTGTGAATGCTTACGATGGCATCCACATGTGGCCCGTCTTCTCTGATTCTGAGAAGGCATTCCGGCAGCGGTGTGGTTATTAAGCAGTAGTCAGACTGTATTCTGGTCAAACCTGCAGGATGATCATAAAATCATATGCTTGACCTTACTGCAGTGCGATAACTGTATGCCGCCGCTAATTTAAGCTGCTTCCTAGGCCTCATGTTTCTGGAGTTGCTAAGGTTCGTCAGAGGGAAGTCAGAGACTGGTGAGCCATGCCTACAATTATCACTTTTTTGTTTTTTTGTTTGTTTTTTGTTTTTCAAGACAGGGTTTCTCTGTAGCTTTTGGAGCCTGGTCTGAACTAGCTCTTGTAGACCAGGCTGGCCTCGAACTCACAGAGATCCGCCTGCCTCTGCTCCCGAGTGCTGGGATTAAAGGCATGTGCCACCACCACCCGGCACAATTATCACTTTTAAAATGCATTGTGTTATAAATGCATGCTAGTTGACATCCCATTTGAAAGACATCATACAGATGAGGAGGGAGAGACTTTTAGACATTGGCTACTTTTAGTGTTCGTATCTTTTTGGTCAGTGATCATGTCTTCTTTTTTTCCAGTTTTTTTCTGGTTTTATGGTACTTTGAGATTTCAGTCAAAACTGTAAAGAAAGTTGATTCTCTGGGCAGAAGAATTCTGTAAGGGCCTGTTAAGACAGTAGAAACATTAACTTTAACTTCTGCTGACGACTAACGTCTCTCCGTGTATGACAGCTTTTGGCATCACTCACGATACGTAAGCGGTTGCAGGTGCTTTGGTTTCATCCCCACCTTAATTAGCATTTGTCACGTTTTATGAAATGGAAATATTCATAGCTCCATAAATACATAAAAGTGCCTGATGAGACACAGCAGGGACGACTTTGGGGGAAAAACACGCCAAGCTGGACATGGTGACACACACACACACACACCTCAATAGTCTGCTGCTCAGGAGACTAAGGTGGAAGGTTGAATATCTAAGTTGAGGAATCTGAGGCTGGCCCAGGCAACACACTGAGACCTCGGCTCAAAAAGGAGCAACAGTAATGGAGCTCAAGTTCTATTTGGTCTTAATAATAAAGACCTGGAGTCAGTTATGGGGCAAATGCTAAAAGATCAGAGAAGTAAAGGAGCCAGCCACTAGAGAGACTTTTTACCTCTACCGAATGCTTAGACCAAAGGTGGCAAGATCCTGTCTCCATGAATCCTCAGTCTGAATGCCTTGAGCTCCTGTCTCCTCCTCCCTCATATTCCTCTCTCCACCCACCCATACCCCTTCCTGTCTCCACCTCCCTAGTGCTGGGATTAAAGGCGTGTGCCTCCCAAGTACTGAGATTAAAGGTATGAGCCACTACCACCTGGCTCTCTTTCTCTTTGAGACTGAATCAATCTAGTGTATACATTGCCTTGGACGATGAATAGGCTTCAACTATAAAGTGAGAATTTTGTTCTAGGTAAAGGCCTCTGCTTCCTCTCTTCATATGTAACTTTCAACCACGTCAACTTTGCTGTGAATAAGATGCAGGCAATAAAACTTCAGACCTATGTGACTCAAAAGAATATTTCCTAATCTGTGCTTGTCGCCTGCCAGGAATTTGATCCTGAAGAATTTTACTACCTGTTGGAAGCCGCAGAAGGCCATGCCAAAGAAGGCCAGGGAATCAAAACTGACATTCCCCGGTACATCATCAGCCAGCTGGGGCTCAATAAGGACCCTCTGGAAGGTGAGTGCTAGTCGGGTTGCCCTTGCCCTCTCTCTGACCGTGGCATCTAGACGAACTTCATAATGCGTCTTTACTTTCCTCATGTTGGCTATCTCTATGAAAAAGCCCCCTTGGGGGAGACCAGTTAGTATTTGAAAGACAGAACCATCATTGAGTACAGAGGAGAAATCGGACATGCCCCAGTGAGCGTCAGCTAGAGGATGGGGCTGGCCTCGCCGGACTCGAGCCCTGCAGTCCCGGGAGTGCTTGCTGTCTGCTGGAGCACGTGGATTCCATCTTCCCTGAGTCCTTCTTTTGCAAAGCTCAGTGGGCTCCCTCTGGAGAGCACTTTTAATTTTCCGAGTGTTTCTAAAAATCGTCATTTATTTAAAATTGACATTTCACTTTAATCTAGGAGTCAAGCCGCTACGGTGGATGGCTTTAAATTGAGAGCAGCATTGGTAGGTACATTTTTAGCTTACTTGTCTCAAGTAAGCAAGAAAAATCGCATTATGTACAAGAGAGCCAGTGGTCAAAAGGGAGCTCCTTTTAAAGCTTGCAAGAGGACGCATGGTTGATTCATATAAAGAGAAAAAAGTCTGTTAAGTATAGGGAATCAGACCTGTTTTGTAGCAGTTTCTCAAAATATCTAATGTTGCAATCCCCTCCCATTTCTGGTTCACAGTTATATCAGTGTTATATCCAACACTTGAGTTTTGATATGTACAGCACTTAGTCTGTGTAGCAGCTCAAAGGACTCATAAACAGCCATTGACACCTATTTCCAGATTGTCTTCCTGGTTCATTAAAATTGAATTTGCAGTGTTTAACCTGCCCAATTGTTTGTGATGGAGGCAAATGTTGGTGCAGAGATTTTTCTCTTCTGTCCTAAGCTAGGGAGCCTTCGGCTTTCTGCCCTGCTCTTTCCTGTTCTCCCCGCTTTGTTTGCTCTTGCGGACGTTGTATCTTTGCTTCTAGTGAAATGATGCATGCGTTACTGGGAGATAATGCCAGATAAATTCATACTGTACTGAAAGCGAACCACAACAGATTCATCACTTACTGAGACTGGTGGCTGCCTTTCTGAAAAGTTCCCTGCGGGGGGAGATTTTCTCCCATGGCTTTTAAATTACCATCTTTACCTTTCGGAATCATGAGTCTTCAGAAACGGTTTAAATCAATGAAATAAAAAGGGCAGATGTTTAATGGTATTTAGATGAGTTTTAAAAAAATCTCTTCAGGCATTACAAAATGATGGCTTAGCCTCCCTGCCTCGAAAGCTCACTCCTGGCTCCATCCCATTACTGCCCACTGCTTACAAATAATATGGATTTCCCAGATAATAGTTATTTAGCTGAAATTCTATTTAAAACAAAACCATCTTTTAATTTTTTTTTTTCTAAAACAATTGGAGAGCAGGGGCTGTCAGAGCCTGTTAGAGCGACTCTTCCCACGCCATTGCTAAGGATGCATCGGCCAGTGCCTTGTCAACCAGTGAGTCCTGTGCGGGTTTCCGCTCTGGCAGTAAATGTCACTATAGGAAGAACTTTAGCACATAAATAATGTGATGGTCTCTCATATATATATATATATATATATATATATATATATATATATATATATATATATGTAGATGTTCAAAAAAAACCAGTAGTGATCTTTGACACATTTGAGTTGTGTAAATTTATCTCTAGGAATTTCTTTACTCATAATTTTTTGACTCGTTCTGGGAATAGTTTTTCAATATATATTTTAATATTTAAAATGTGACATCTCCAGGTAATTTGATTACAAACCCTGAGATACTTTTGCTTCCTTCCTTTTTTTTTTTATAACATCAAAACAGACAAAGTAGGACTGTCCTTTAGTACATAGGAGTGAGGTCTAGGCTGGGCTGTGGTCCTCTTGGGGCAAAGACATAAACTACTTTGTGCCTCCATAAAATTAAATAAGTCACGGGGGGAGAAGCACCCCTCTATAGACGTGATCTCTGTGTGGGACAGCACAGTATCTGTGTATCAAATAGAAATCCCTGTAGCTAGCTTTGCTACCCAGTACCAGATCTCATCTCATTGCTTGAGAGCCCCTCAAACCAAGTCTGAGCGTCTACGGTGCCAGTCACACTGAGGTCTGAGTCACTCCTGTGCCACTGAGAAAGCACTAGCTCTCAGCACAGTTTTACTTAGAAACTTCACCTGTACCTGAAGTGGGGACGTTAACACCACTGTCCAGCTATTGTAGGACCCGGAATTTGTACATTTTCACCTAAAGGCAGCACTCCAGCGTGGTTTCACATCTTCTCTCTGTTATGGATAATTGCTGCTCTCAGAAGACAGTTATAAGAACACAACATGAAATAAAGGCCCAGAGAGCAATCTTAGATGCTTACAAAATGGCTTAAAAAAAAAAAACCTATAACTTTTTGGTAACACATTCAGTTTTGAAAAATTAAAAATGCTTTTGGAGAAAATTCTTTCATAGTCCTTATTAATAAAACATGTCTTAAAGATAGTATGGAGATGAACATTGAATACATTAGGCCTTCTCATTTACTTACGTAAACTCAAGGATGCTCTCCAAGCCATGGGCTGAGCAATTAGACATTAGATGCCTTTGTCACTTTTAACTAGACCACCAGGGAAGTACTTAAGCTGGTGTCAAGCCTGGGCATCCAGCCCAGAATTGACTACTCTGAACAATGTAATTAATAAATAACAACCAACATTGAATGAGCACTTAATTCTTATTAGTGAATATGCTGAGAGCATTACATGCAGTGGCACGCATACTACTCAGACAAGCTCTAAGACATAATATTGCTTGCATCTTTCAGAAGAACCTGCAGCTAAAAAGTCACTAAGCTGGGAGGTGGCAGCCCAAGTATTTTCATCCCCATCCCCAGGTGCCCACCAGTATAGTGGCATTTCCATTGTATTTTAATAAATAAAGCCTGCCTGAAGATCTGAGAGGAAAACAGCCCCACTGGGCAGCCTTACAGTCCAGGTTATGATAACACACACCTTTAATCCCTGTAGTCACAATGTCACGCACCTTTAATCCCAGTAACCATAATGACAGGCGTCTTTAATCCCATAGCCACACTAGTTGCCTTAGAAATTGGGTGGTACATGCCTTTAATTCCAGCCCTAGAGACGATTGTAAAACAGGAGGAAACAGCTCTCAGAATGCAGTCTCAGTCTGAGATTCCTGGAGGTGGGACCACCGTTTCAGACTGAGGTCGAGGTAAGAACCAGTGGCTGGCTGTTTTGCTCTGCAGATCTTCAGGCTGAACCCCAGTTTCTGACCCGGAGTTTTTTTTAATCATGCTTCACACCTCCATTCTCACCTCCAATGAATTGTACATTCTTCGTGTCCCTGCAACCAAGAATTGTCTCCAAACTGTAGCCAGTGCATCTTTGCTGCGTGTTAAAGCCTGGAAAGGCCTGCCTCTCCTGGATTATAGACAGAACTGCTAGCTCACCCGAGGTTTTGCAAGGTAGACTGTGCGCTTGAGCCAGTGGCTGCTCACTGGAGCAGAGGCCCAGTCGCCCATGCTCCCAGGTCTGGTTATTCATAAAACTGGAGATCCAGAGAAAGTGTTATGAGAACATGCTCAAAATGGCAGCTGCCATTCTTGACTTTTGGGCTGTAGAATGCATATTGGTGTTGAGACTGAAATATTCTTTCTCTTTTTAAATAATGAGAACTTTTTCTCTTCTGTTTTTGGCTTTGTCTCCTTATATAATTTCAATTTTTTTTCTTTTTCCCTTTTTTTTAAACTTAGAAATGGCTCAGTTGGGGAATTATGATAGTGGGACAGCAGAAACACCAGAGACGGATGAATCACTGAGTGTAAGTTATCTTTCCTGATAAAATACGATGCCGGTTCTTCTGTTTCTTAGCATCTGGAGATTTTTGACTGTGTTAATTACTTTATTCCATAAATGTTTATTGTCCATGGGCAAGGCATGAGACATATAGTTTTAGTGCCCCACTCCTAAGAAAAGGCAGAAATTTATAAAACGACATCATACACACCAAAATAGCAGCTGTAAAAATGAATGACATCTGGGAAGAAAAGATGGCCAAGAACTATGAGCTAGTAGATTGTTCCATGAATAGATTTCAGAGCTGGTCAGCCTCAGAAGATTTTCCAAGGGTGTGGCCATTGATCTGGAATGGGAAAAGGGGTAGGATGTAAAGGGACAGAGGCACACACCTCCAGATGCAAGGTGGATCTAGGGCTAACAGCTTAGAAGACTCCAGAGCTGGAGAACTTGAAGGAGACTAGCCAGTAGGGTCCTGCTCACATTTATCTGGTTTTTTGTTTTTTTTTGTTTTTTTTTTTTTTTTTTTAGTTTTTTGAGACAGGGTTTCTCTGCAGCTTTAGAGCCTGTCCTGGAACTCGCTCTGTAGACCAGGCCTCAAACCCACAAAGATCTGCCTGTCTCTGCCTTCCAAGCGCTGGAATTAAAGGCAGGTGCCACCACTACCTGGCAGGTTTCCCTCTTTTTAAGGGTGGTAGGAAGCCACTGAGCAATGGAGGAGAGCATGCATATAAGAGAGGAGGAAGTAAACAATAAACAGGGAGATGACCTGGTCAGAGTCATGGCTTGAAAGCAAAAGGGATACAGGGATGCCAGTTAAGAGGCAGCATTGGTGGCACTGGGGAGAGTTCCTGATGACTGGGGACATTCTCCTAAGAAGTGAGCACCCTTAGAGAAGCCAGGATAAAGCCAAGTGGGTAGGAAGGTGGGAGCATGTTCTGTAGTCTGAGGTCTGAGAACCCACATTCTAGATCCAGATTGCCTGGAGTTGAAAATGAACTACCTCTTACAAAGTGTGCATACTAGTCAGGGTACAGAGTTCTCTGAACCCAACTTCTCCGTCTGGATAAAAGCTAAATGAAGTGTTCCATGGGCAGTGGCTAGGGAAGTGTCCCCTAGTTAAGTACCAATTGACAATTGCTATGCTAATTTCATTATCATAACTGTTACATTTGATATGTGTTGAAACTGCTGTTTCTTTGAAATTTCCAAGAACCATTAAACTGGCGATTGTAGTCTGCAGTACTCAGGCTTGGAGGGAGCGTTTTCCAGTGGCAGATCCGAGTGATTTCATCATCAGTGATGGGAAGGAAGAGTTAATGAGACAAGAGGGCCTGTGCAGAGCCATCAAGTGGTCCCCAGCTTGAATTGCTTTCCGAGAGGAAGCCATGGAAGAGATGAAGTCATGATAAGATTGAGGTCCTATAGCCAGAGACTAAGAGGAAGTGCAAGAGACTGGTGGCTGTTTGGATTGAGGAGGTCAGGTAGCCCTGAGGCCAGGAACTGGTTCTATTTTTCAAGTAGAGGTGACAGGACAAGGGAAGAGCTGAAGTAGAGTAAGAAGGTAAGGAGTTGGTGTGCAAGCCTTCCAAAGATGAGCAGAGTGATGGGGGTAGAGATGCAGGCCTGACGACTTGTGTGCACCCTAACTTCATGGGTCTTCCAGAATGATGGAGAGGGAATTCTGGACTCGGTGGACCTAAGCGGCTGCTGAGATGAATGAGGCACAAAAGACTTACTCAAAGCATTCAAAGCGACAAGGTTATTCCTGTTCATTAAGCTAAACTGTGTAGAGAGCTGTCATTTAGAATGGTGGTATTTAAGCCATAGTAAGAGTTCTGGTAAACGTGAGTAGGCGTTCCACATCTAGGAAACTGTCACCTGCCATCTGTAGAGTGCCACAGAATAAAAAAGATACGATCTGGTCAGGATTGAAGAGTCCACTGAATGAAAAAGATACAGTCTGGTCAGGATTGGAGGGTCCGCATTCTCCCCCAACACAAGTGACAGCTGTCCTGACCTTTTCTGAATGGAAGCAGAGGGAAGGTATGGCGTTTTAGACTTAGCATTAAAATGCAGGACCAGGATGAAACTTAAGTTTCCAAAGCCTTCACACGTATTCTTTTGGCAACACGGGCTTGCTTAAATGAAGCTACTAGGGACTCGCTTGGAGCCGCAGCTCAGTTGCTGCTGGGGCAGTGAGATTCTTGGAGCTGGTCCCAGGTCCTCTATTGAGAACACCATGTTCTGCAGGTTAAACAGCGCCTTATGGTAATTGTCTCCAAATCGGAACTGCATTTTAACTGTTCACATTCTGTTCCCCAGAGCTCAAATACTTCTCTGAGACTTCGAAGGAAACCCCGAGAGAGTGATTTTGAAACAATTAAATTGATCAGCAATGGAGCCTATGGGTGAGTAATCCAAGCAAGGCCCTCTAGCATATTGTAATGAACCTGAGTACAACATTTGGTTTTTACTTTTACTTTATGCTTGATAGATGCTGTTCGGGGACTGGCATTTTAGAAGGCTATTTCTTCCCCCTTGGGTGTAACATGAAGCCAGAGTCACTTCTTGGTGGGAAACTGCTAGTTAGTTCCTGGCCGCTTAAGCCCAGAATAATCACACAGAGACTGTATTAATTAAATCACTGATTGGCCCATTAGCTCTAGGTTCTTATTGGCTAACTCTTACATAGTAATTTAACCCATTTCTACTAATCTGTATATCACCACGAGGTCATGGCCTACCAGCAAAGTTTCAGCACCTCTGTCTCTGGTGGTGGCTCTATGGTGTCTCTCTGACTCCACCCTTTTTTCTCCCAGTATTCAGCATAGCTTTCCCTGCCTACCTGAGTTCTGCCTTGCTATAGATCCAAAGCAGTTTCTTTATTCATTAATGGTAATCACAGCACAGAGAGGGGACTCCCACATCAACTTCTGAAGACCCAACTAAAGACATAGTTGATGACCCAGGACTTATTTTAGAAGATTGGAAAGATTTTATAAAATAGAAGAAAAATGTTCTATATTCCTTGTTCTATGACTAAATCTGTGCTTGTTGTTGAGGGCATTTGACTCTTGGTTGAGATCATACATGTTGTATATTGTGTGAAACGCACCACATGCATGTGACTTCACATACTGGCATGTTTATTAAATTGGATGAACCACTAAAACTACAGATAGCATTTGTTCCTTGCTCCATTTTTATTCCTGAAGGAAGAGAGGTATGCTCTGGAGTCATCCAAATGGCTTCAAGGAATGCATTCTCTCTCTCTAGTAGGCACTAAATTTCTGCCTCTTTTCTTTCTTTTCCGATTCTTAGTATTCCTTTTCATAATGGGTACAATGGGGTTTCTTTTCTCAAAAATTTTGAGACAAGGTCTCACATATTGCAGGCTGACCTTGAACTACTGTGTAGTTGAGGATGACCTTGGATTCCTGACCCTTCTGCTTCTTCCTTCTGTGTGCCAGGATTAGAGGCTTGTGTCACTATTGCTTTTTCAACTTTTTTTTGGCTGGTGTGTGTGTGTGTGTGTGTGTGTTTTATCTGTTGACATGCACTGCACACACATGATACACTTCTGTACCCTGTTACACATTAGTTTTTCAGTATCTGTGTAATGGTGACATCAGAGTTAGTCTTTTCATTTTTTAAAAACATTTATTGTTTCTTTATGCTGGGAACCATTGATACTGTTGAATTCCTTGTTCCATTTCTATAGACCAGGGGTTCTCAACCCATGGTTTATGACTCATTGTGGGGTCAAATGACCCTTTTGCAGGGGTTGAATATCAGATATCCTGTCTATCAGATATTTACATTATGATTCATAATGTTCATAACAGTAGCAAAATTGCCACTATGAAGTAGCAAGGAGATAATTTTATGTCTGGGGTTCACCACCACATGAAAAACTGTATTAAAGGGTTGCAGCATAGGAAGGTTGAGTACCACTGCAATACACAGTTTCCTTCCCAGGCTGTAGAGTAAATGGTGACCATAGCAAATTGTAAATAGTAAATTCTGCGTTACCAGTAAGTAGTATAGAGGGCGATTAACATGGAAACTATGACCTAATCCATTATGGATTGCCCAAGAGTTCTATCTTAATTAAGTATTAAGCCCAATTCCATCTGTATATGAAGAGCAATAAATTATCCCTGAGACATTTATTGTCATTTATCCACAGAGGAGCAGATGAGAAAGTGGTTTTTATTGTGCCACAAGGGATGTTTCTCCTAACTGGTTTTTCACCTGTAATATTTTCCACACCATTAACTTAGCAAAGAACTTAAATATTTGTGAGCCCACCCTATGCCTCACTGGCTTTCAGGATTATGTCAAATGGCATGTTTTCTGATGCAGCCCATGAATGCTTTTACATGTTATCTTTTTGCAATATTTGCTTTCCTCACTGAAAGTTTTCTAGCATGCAATTTTGTATGCCTTTGTTTTGTTTATTGCAGTTTGCTTTGTGTATGTGTATGTGTGTTTTTTTAAATCTTTCTGGAAGAAGCCAGCAGGTTGATCTTGTAGGCACAGGGTTGGAGCACTGTTCAGCTCTTTTTTCAGCAGGAAAATGAATTCTGGAGTAAGATGTTCTGGGAAGCAAGACTTTTGTAAATCTTGGGCATGTTTCTTAGCAGTATCTGGAGTTCTAATTGGTTGAGTAAACTCATTTGTAGTGCAATTAAACCACTGTATAGTAGATGAGGTATATCACACTTTGGGGAATGGTCGGGAATATACAAGGAGTTAAACAAGCTGTGAATTAGTAAACACCCAGGATGCAGGCCAAGTCATTAATGGGCTCACAAGCTGCCTGTTGGAGCCTCTGCTGATCAGCCAGAACCACTTTCCTCTCTTCTCTTCTCGGATGTAATATCTCATTACATTTCTGACAGATTTCCTTTCTATTTGAATTATTTCTAATTTAAAATTGGAATAGAGCTACCCCTGTCATTTCAACCAACCATGATGCTTTTCTCTGTCTAGCAGAACAAATAGACCCTTAGATGGGTTGAGGAGCTGGGCTCTTCCTGTTGTCTTGGGTATCTGTGTAACAAGATGTCACTATATCCATCAGTCACTCAGATAAACACAGATAGACTATGTCCTCCCCCACTGCTGCTGGCATTAGGAGCTAACCCTCTCATGATAAAAGCATGGTAAGACACAGCACTTATGTCTTGCTGACCATATGTGTGATCATGCCATAGTACTCTTTGAAGACGGAAGCTAGTAAATCCTCCATTCATCTACCCTCTGTGTCTGTGTTCTCTGAGTAAGAGCCTGGTGAGGTTGTTGATATCTGTGGAAAAGGCTTTCAGGGCCACAGAGCCTCCTGCAGAGTTCTCCTCTCCTTCCAAGTATCCTTGATTAAAATTTTGTTATCCCAGCGGAGAAACAAAGGTCCAACTTCTTTCTATTGAATATCGATTGGCTTTGTAAGCCATGACCTCAAATGTTTTTAAAGAAATTTTTCCCCCTTTGGTTTAGCCCAGGCTGGCCTCAAATTTGCCATGTAGAGCAGACTGACTTTGAACCCCTGATCCTCTTATTATACACAACTGAAAGGATAACATGGACTCAGTTATTGAAACACTTGACGTTGCAACAGTTCTCCCCGATTTTACTCTTCTTTTTGTCCTGGGTACACACTGTTCTCTCACCCCTCAAGGGCTCAGAGACATTTACTAGTAAGAGCCATGGGGACCAGCTGACACACAACCGTTTGCACATGCTATGATTGCCCTTCCTTTCTACGTTCCATTGATGTTCCCCTACTTGCACTTACAGATCTACTGGCTCGCATCTGTGCATTGGGATTTTAGAGTCATGCTTGCTGGGGCAGGTGCTCACTGGGTATCAGGGATGCCTTACTTACCTTACATAGGCAGAAAGACATCTGGCTCCCGGAGGGTAAGGGTCTCCAGCTGCCTTTCCACCATGTCATTTCCCACTCTTGGGCTTACCTGTGGAGGAAGAAACAGAATATCCTTGTCCATCCAAGCAATGCTGGGGGCCAGGAAACAAAGAAATAAGAGAGGCTTAGCAGACAGTGCCGTGCTGGGTCATTAGGACATTCAGAGTGCATTCAGCAGTGTTAGCTGTTCATCAGTTGGTCTCTTCCTCAATGTCTTGCTCTCTGCTGACATGAGAGAAGATCTAGAACATTGCCATATAGCAAAAGATAGCAGATGTATGTGGCGGATACAGTTACTGCTAAATAAGTTTTAGCATTAAGAATAAAACCCCAAAAGCAAAACAGAAATATAAGAACATAAAATAGAGACCGAGGATATCACCCCATGGTAGATTCCTTGCCTGAAATGATCAAGGCCCCATGCTCAGTGACCACCACAGCAGAAATGACCCCTAAGTCCTCACCCACAAAATGTTCAGCAACAGAAATTCTCAAGTCCTCCAGCGGCTTGATCAACACTTGGTTGAAAACCAAAGCGTCCACCCCGTGATAGTTTCAGTGTGAAGTTCGGAGTACAGGTCTGAGGGTCCTCTGCACTGACCTTATGTGAAATAGCAAAGGAAAAGCTGGATGGTCAATTACAGTCTAGGTGAGCTGTTATAAAAAGGTTTCATTTTTGTGTTACTCTTTCAAGTTCTTGATTTTATTTAAAAATAGATCCCTCATTTGAGAAATCCATTGCAATAGCGAATGTTAACCAGTGTGTATCGTATTTGGGGGGTGGCCACGTCATTTTGTGTCCTCCTCTGTTACTGTCTCTATATTCTGTTGCCATCATGATTAGATGCCGCTTTCAATATCTGGGCTTTTTATTTTATCCCAACCAGTGATTTTAAAAGGGAGATTACAGTAAAAAACTTTTCATCAGATATAGAGCTATGTATTAGCCGGCTCATTAATTTAAAAGTCACTAATAATAGGGAATTTTTAGAAGTGTGTATGGTAAACATTTAAGTTTAACCTGCATGTGTATATTGTCTTTAGGTTTTTGAGACCTTTGAAGACAGTTGATATGAGCCGTACTTAGAGTACATGGCTTCTGCTTCCCAGCTTTGAAGGTGAAGCTGAGATTTGGGGTAGTCTTGAGTGTTGGCCTCTGAGTGTCTTATCAGCTTCTCGAAAGTTCACTCCTACTGAAACCAATAGGAATTTTATTGAGTCATCTGCATCTTTTGAAACCTTCCAAACACTTATTAGTGACACAGAGCCTCTGGTTGTCATGGTTACACTTCATTGGCTACTTAGTTACTAGTTACTTTTCTCTTTACTGCCACCAAAGACGTGAGGAAAGCACCTAAAGGAGGAAGGATTTGTTCTTGTTCCTTAGAAGCTCAGTCCCGCATGGCAGGGGAGATCTGGGTGACTGAACTCCTTCCATATTGGCAGCAGCTTGCCGCACACATGTTACCTCTTGCATAAGCCAGGAAGCAAATACCACCTCTGGTCCATCCAGCCACCCTCTTTCCTCAAGGCTCCACGATCTCCCCACACACCCCCACCTTCTGGGGACTGGGTCATCAAACACTAATCTGTGAGGATCTTTAACATGCAAATCATAACTATTGGTTTAATTGTTTATCTGCCTTAGCTAATCTTTTTTGAAACGAAGTCTTATGTAGCCCAGATTGGCCTCAGATTTGCTGACCAAGGATGACTGTGAAGGTCTAATCTTCAAACTTCTTCCCGTGTGCTTGAAATAATTTTGATATCAAGACTAAACAACAGAACAGTTGAAGGAATAAACACAGCCTATAGGAGCCCAGCGTCGAGGCATTCCAGAGAAGATCCCTAACTTAGCTTTTACCAAATGTCCAGCTGGCCAACTCTCATGTGGTTTTGTTTTACGGTGAGAACCAAAGTAGCAGGAGGCTCAGTGGGTTATTTTGAGGAGGGTCACAACGAGACCTTCCTTCCTTTGTATCATAGAGCGAACGAAAAACTAGAAAACCAAATAAATGAAGAAAGGGAGCAAGGCCAAAGACAATGGAGAAGCACAGATGTGTGACACCGAGAACAAAGAAAAGAGGAATATGATGAAAATATAAAACAGGCGGGAGAGAAAAGACAGTCCCTAGGTGAACACTATATGGAGGAAGCGAGATTTGAAAATACTGAGACTTACGTCAGTGCCCCGAGTGACTGGTTCAGTAGAGAGCGAAGTGTCTCAGCCACCTTTGCAACCAGCCATCCATTGCTCAGAGATACGGAGCTCACTGGTGGAAAACACTTCTAAGTTCACATAACTCCTTGTTTTTGAAGGCATATCAGTGTGTGTGTGTGTGTGTGTGTGTGTGTGTGTGTGTATACGTACATATGCACGTACGTATGTAATGTATGTATAATTACCAGGATGATTGGCTTTTTAGATAAACTTCTTATTTGATCAATGCCTTTGTTCTCAGAACAGCATGTCCAGCCTGTTACAGTCTTAGTGGTCCTTTGGGGAATCACTTACTTGAGCGCTGCCTTCTTGGAAGGTCACGGCTGTCCTTCTGTGAAAACAAGTGGGGTGACTTGTGAGGAAGGGGGCATCCTGGGCCTTTTCCCTGTTGTTCATTTCTTAGTGGGGATTTTTTAGGACTCCTGCCCCTAAGTACTCCTTTCTCCTGGTCATCCCAGGCCATAGGGGCTTCCCTGTCTTTCTAGAGATGTCTGGACCAGGCCATAGCAAAGACCGAGTGTGGCCTAGTCTGTTCATTTTATACTGTAAAGGGGCTTCATAGCTTGGCCAGGAGACTGGGGGAGCAGACATGCACTCCTTGCCTGTCCCTCCCCTGTTATGTTGGGAGATGTATTTGCTGCTGAAGTTCATAGAGGGTGTGCGTCAGGAGTCCGCAGTGAGGGAAGAATGCTGCTCTTGGTTGCAGAACAATCTCAAATATCCCCGCACACACTTCTCATTTATCTGGAGATTCCATGGGAAGTAATTACTCTCAATTGGAGACCAGCGTCTCTAAGAAGCTGTGGTCCTCTTTTCAGATCCCAAGGGTATCATTTAGAAAATTATTGCTTTAGTCAGTCCAGAAAACGTGCCTAACATATGTCTAATGCTAGGAAGGATGTCGCTCGTGATCTGTGTGTAATTTTGTTAATTCTTTCCAGTTCTGATTTATATATCGGATTTTGTTTTGTTTGTGGAAAAACTGAAAACATCAGCTAAGCTTTTGAGAGATAGCTCTCTCTGGGGACTGTCTGCCCCCTTTTGGAGCAGCAAAGGCAAATTTGATGCTTTATGTATGATCTTTATTAAAGGGATTTTTTAGAAAGTCAGTCTAACCAAAGGACTTTGGCCTAGAATAGGATGTTTCCAAGTCACCAGCCCAGCTGTGGCAACTTAGTTTGAACTGTTATAAACCCCAGAAGCGTGGGGCTTGTGTATCCCCTGAGCATCCTTACCTTCTGTCTTCCTGTACTCCATTTCAGGGCGGTCTACTTTGTTCGGCATAAAGAATCCCGGCAGAGGTTTGCCATGAAGAAGATCAATAAACAGAACCTCATCCTTCGGAACCAGATCCAGCAGGCCTTCGTGGAACGTGACATCCTCACTTTCGCGGAGAACCCCTTCGTGGTCAGCATGTATTGCTCCTTTGAAACAAGACGCCACCTGTGCATGGTCATGGAGTATGTAGAAGGTACATGGCTCTCGCACGCACACAGCACAGGGCCTACACCCAGGTGTCCTTGTCGCTGAAGCTGCCTTTGTACCACGTAACAGCTCTCCCCATCTAGGAACTGAAACCAGCCGTGAGGTGGCTGAATTCCCAGGCATTATCTTCTGGTAATTGCTCATAAAATGCCTGTGTCTATAACAAAGGGGAAATTAGTCTTATTTGGGAAAAGGTTGTTTTCTTTTTTTAATAGCTTTTAATCCTAACTGCCTCCCTGCAATTGGTCATTAAAGTTGGAATATAGGTGATAGGACTTTTTCTTCCTACTTCCTTTTATCACACATCATAAAACCTGTTCATTGTAATTAGTCTTCTTAAAAAGTACATTTCAAATACATCCCTTTTAGCCTATGGTAGGAAATTAAAAATCCAGCCAGTATTCCCAGTCTTCACATTTCCCCCGTCTTTTGTCTTTTTAAACAGACAGTCTTCTTTATAGCCAAGCAGGTCTCAAACTTTATAATTTTTCTGCCTCAGTCTCTTCAGTGCTAGGGTTACTGGCATGTCCAACCTACCATGCCCAGCCTCCTCAACAGTTTGTGGTGTGCATTGTTCAAAGTAATCTCTCTCTCTCTCTCTCTCTCTCTCTCTCTCTCTCTCTCTCTCTCTCTCTCTCTCCATTAAATTTCTGAGACTTTCCATCCACTCTCATCATTATTCACATAAAGTTAGTAAAGTAAATAGGTCAGCAGAGGCGCAAACCCTCCTCTCTGTGGTTTAAGCTCTGATCTGTATTTGGAGGGATGCCCTCACTGTAAATCTCTAAGAAATAGTAGAGATTTTTACTTAAACCTTTCCTGTCTTGCAGCTAAGGGGACCGACAGCCAAGAAAGGGAACTGAGTGCTAGACAGAGCCCGAACAGTTTGCCTGAGTTCCATCCATTGTTCTTCCTGCCACACCAGCAGCTTTTGAACTGTTGTGGTTGTTCCTATAGTGACTCTTTATCACATTTGGTATGCGCGAGGCCATGTCCTCGTTCCTTGTCACAGAAAGAGTTTCAAATAAATAATCCTATGAAGCAGTGGTTCTCAGCCTTCCTCATGCTGCAGCCCTTTATAACAGTTCCTCATGTGTGGCGACCCCCCATCATAAAATTATTTGATTGCCACTTCATAACTATAATTTTACTACTGTTAGGAGTCATTTACATTAGCTGATACGTAACCTCTGTGAAAGGGTTGTTCGACCCCCAAAGGGGTTGCCATCCACAGGTTGAGAGCCTCTGCTATAAAAGGGTGACATGTCTAATCTGACATTGCGCTCAAGTAACCAAGACTGCCATGCTCATTTGCTAAGAGCTCTCAGCTGCTCAGAGCCAGGAGGCGTCCACCCCCGCCATCTAATTCTAGCATCTGTGTTTTACACCGGTACATTGTAAATTAGTACTATCATCACGAATTATGCTAGAGGTTATCAGAACACAGTTCACTACGGAGTCAGACTGCTTTCTTCACTCCACAGCTTGATGAGAAACATGACAACTTCACAAAGCCTCCACTTAGGAAGGCGATGTTTCTGCTTTGAGGTTCCGTGGTCTACAGCGCTAGTCTTCATTAATCCTGCTTGATGCTGTTTTTACTGAGTTTATGTCCTGTGTTTTACAGGGGGAGACTGTGCAACCTTAATGAAAAACATGGGTCCTCTCCCCGTTGATATGGCCAGGATGTACTTTGCTGAGACAGTCTTGGCCTTGGAGTACCTGCATAACTATGGAATTGTGCACAGGGATTTGAAGCCAGACAAGTATGTGCCCTGATAAAACAAATGTCTTCTTTTACATAATACTGAACAGTTTCTTCTGCCTGAAATGTTTTTATGGTTATTTGCACATTTAAAAAAAATTCTCTTTAATATAAAAACAAGTTATTTTCATAGTAACTTAATGATAATTTTTATACAATCATTGAAAGAGACTATAATGTTGATAATGAGAACTTATGAGAAATAGGGAAAATGACTCCAAACCAAGAATTAATTTTCTTTTTATCATATAATCTTTGAACAGTGACATAGAATAATGCTGTCTTTAGGAGTGTTTGATATTTGGCATTATACTTAGCTGAGTCTTACATTTGCTGTGACCATATATGTGAGAGGATATTGTATTTCAATCATACATTGTTAGTTTGAAGTTCATTGGAGACTCTGATTTGAGATGTGGGTAGATTTTCCCAAGCTGTTCATCTTGGCATCATGTATGGAATATTCCATGCTTTCTGCACTGATGAGAGGTACTGCTAAGTGTGTTGAAAAGTGTGTGACAAACTAAGTTCATGTTCATCAGATAGCTTGGAAAACCCAGGGAAGGGGAAGAACAATGTCCTATACAGCTGTTAGAAGCTTGGCAAAATTCCTTTGAGTAGTGTTTGTTTATCTGTTTGTTTGAGACAAGGTCTCTCTATATAGCCATGGGTGTCCTGGAACTCACTATGTGGAACAGGCTGTCCCCATACTCACAGAGATCCACCTGCCTCTACCTCTCGAGTGATAGGATTAAAGCATGCACCACCACCAACCGGCCCTCTTTCTAGGAGCTCCTTTAAAAACCTCTATTACTTTTACTTTTTAATTGATATAATGGTATTTTTTACTTACAGTGAAATCTTTTAATATATTCAAATATAAATTCCTTGCATGAACTCATAAACCCAAGCTGTGTGCTTAATAAGTTGAAGTTCAAATCAAAGCTGGAAGTTAAAATATGAAAAACTATGTTTTTCTTTCTTTCTTTTTTTTTTTAAAATCTGTGTCTCCTTTTAGTCATGAATGGATTACTTGCCTAAATTCCTGGTGTATGCTGTGGATTGTGGATTATTTCTTCTATGTTTTCTTACTCTGAAAATGGAAAGAGGCCGCTGGAAAGGTGGCTCGGTGGCCAAGAGTACTGACGTTACAGAAGACCCGAGTTTGGTTCCCAGCACCCTCATTAGGTGGCTCACTCCTCCACCGCTATCTTTATGGGCTCTAACACACTCTTTTGGACTCCACAGGCAAACTCATTCACATGTACACGACCACCACCCCTCCCCCATACACACACGCATACACGTAACTTTAAAAATAAAGTAAATCTGACATCAGGCACAATCAGGGTGGTATGGCCATAGACCAAGATAAATATGAAAATGGAGAGGAACCAGCGTTCCATGCTTAAGGTTTTAGAGTCTCTAAGTGTTGCAAAAATGATGATATTGCGTGTGATTGGTTCACCACATACAGCGGAACCTTAGCTCTGGCCCTGAATTATGTTCTGAATTATGCTCAGCTCTCAAACGCCAGTACTCTACAGCGTTGCCCGGTGCCCTCTCTTACCAGGCGTCATTTTGCAATATGGTTGATGTATTACAAACTAAAGGGGGAAAGAAGGGGACCTAAAGCCATAGCATTTCTTTAAAGTGATTGTCGTGCTCTCTGTCCTCCTGTCCCCCAGCCTGTTGGTCACCTCCATGGGGCACATAAAGCTGACCGATTTCGGCTTATCTAAAGTGGGGCTGATGAGCATGACCACCAATCTCTATGAAGGTCACATTGAGAAGGATGCCCGAGAGTTCCTAGATAAACAGGTAAGCTTGGAGGCGGCTCTGTCTGTGGAGAGAGATACAAAGCTCACTGCAGCCAGTGAATTCAGAATCCACTTGCGTAGGCTTTCTCCACATTAGTGCTGGTGTTTGGATGTCTGTATAAGCCTCGCATTTAATAAAGTGCAAACTGTTCCCATCTGTCTCCCTGGGCCTCCCTGAACTGTCCGCTCCCCCTGCATTCCTCCCCTAGCATTAAGGTCTATTAGCAAGATGAACGGTCTAATTGCGCACAAGTGAGAGGGTGAGAGAGACAAATGGAAAACTGTTTTTGTAAGGAATTCAGGAGTCTCAATAGAGTACTCGTGAAGCTCATGATGCATTGCGCAATCTCGGCTGCTAAAATCCGAGCTATGGCCCATTTCCTTCTAAGCATGCCTCATTACCATGTGCCCACAATCTGTTCATTGTGAAGTTACTTAAGGTAAACCCATCTCAACTGCCATGCCTTTCTGATATAACCACAGTGAGCATCAGTTTGGTTAATAATTGAGCTACCTTTAATAGTGACGGATTAAATATGCACTCTTATTTTTCAATGTAAAAAACAGTTCTCATTATTGTATAAAGCCATGCACAGGTTAGGTGTGCAGTTTGAAACTAGGCATCATAAATATGGTTTTTGTCATTATAATATCTGTTCTTGAGGTCGCTGTCCATGTGTTTCCTTGTAGGTGAGCAGGTGTATTTGAGACAGAATAATTGTTTAGTCATCTTGTTCGTTTTAATTCATGTCGAATATTCCAATTATTCTAATATTGCAATTTCACTTTAGGTCTGTGGTACACCTGAATACATTGCCCCCGAGGTGATTCTGAGACAAGGCTATGGGAAGCCTGTGGACTGGTGGGCCATGGGCATTATCCTCTATGAATTTCTAGTTGGATGTGTGCCTTTCTTTGGGGACACTCCAGAAGAGCTATTTGGACAAGTCATCAGTGGTAAATATCAAGAGTTATCTTTACATCACTACTGGGAAACAGCTACTTAATGTAAATCTGCTGTGTGTCACTAAAATGTTAACCTTTATCAAACATTTGAGCCAACAAATTAAAAGAACTCGCTTATCCTAACACACAACTGACTCTCGCGTTCCCAAGAGAGTGATGTGTGTTGAAATTGATCTGAGGAAGTTTTGTTAACATGGAATTTGGAAATGGGCTAGTGGTGTGTTCAACTTCCAATTGTGTACTACTTTATCCCAAAGCAATTGGTATGGGATTTACAAATGCTTTTATTGTTAGCTGGTCTTCATTTTCGTAATAGGAAAGTGGCACCAGGGAAGAAAAGGTTAATGTGGGCAACATTTACATAAATGGGAAAAATGGCTAATGGCGCAATGAAGAAATTAGCAAACATGTAATAAACCCTAAAACAAATGTCTACCAAATAATAAATAATGAGGATAGGAAGGCAGGAAATTGAATCTGCAGATTGTTAATGCTGTCATTGGTAGTTGTGATGTGTAATGTTATTTCTATGGCAGCTGTTCATCTTTCATTTAAAATTCAATAACCTTTAGATCTTGACCTGCAAGCTGACCCTAACTGTTGTCATGCAGCATGTGGCACACCTAAATGATAATTAAATGGGGGCCATTGCTCCCCTTCTGGCTGATTTTATAAATTCCCTCAAGGCATAGATGACAGAAAAGACTCCTCTACCTGAAAGGTTATCTCCGGTCTCCCCATCAGCCACCTCTGGTCCATCCTGGACCACACTTATGCCAGCCAACAATGGAAATGTGGGTAAATTCATTTTGCCCATGAAAAGTCCTTAATCGTACTTTTATTTTCTGACATGGGCTTTGCAAGCCAGGCACATTTGTAAACTTTAGCAGAGTAGATTTGTTGAATTGCCTGCAGCCTGAAAGCCCTTTCTGCAGTATCGGAGCTGTTTATGGATTTATAACTAGGCTGTTTTCTGACAGACCAAGGCCTGAATGGCAAGGGGAATCAACTGTTTAATTAACACAAGCAGCGAACGCTGGCTTTGTTCTTGATGCCTTACGGCTCTGATGCATATTCATGTTTTATTTTCCAAATCAGATTTAAACTGCAGCAGAGGAAGCTAGAGGCACGCGCACACAAAAATAACTCATGTTTTTATTGCATCTCCATACACGCGAGCATGCATACCTATCTCCAGGCAAACTCTTTCAGAACACGAAGGTAGTCTAATATATCTGACAGACTTTAAATACTCTCTTTACTACGATTTCCCGGGGTTTTTGTCTTCTTCAGCCTTAACATTTGGACTTTACCTTTGTCTCTAGAAATAATTACTTTCTGCAGAATAACCTTTTCCTCCGTGGAGCTAAAGAACTGGGTGGCCAGGACCAAATTCTCAGTTTAGGCTAGTGAGAAAATCTTAACATTTGGATGGTCCCCAGTGGGTAAGCCCTTGACACAGAGGTGGTCAGTTTCTGTTTTATTAAATCTTCCTCATAAGCGGAAGGCGTGACTTGTTAGGGAACATTTCTGTCACTGGAAATAAGTGAATGATGGTTTTGCCAAGGAATAAAGTAGATGATCGGTTCTATTTGTTGAAATAATCTAATCTTCCTTAAACTAAAAACAAAAAACAAAACAAAACAAAACAAAAAAACGGTGCTATTTGTACCTTGTAAAATAGTATTGTCCGAACTTGGCCATGTAGAAGTCCACTGAAGATCTTATAATACAGGTTTGGGTTCAGTGTGTCCGGGATGGGGCCCAGGAGTCTGCATGTCTAACAGTCCTCCTGGGGATGTCCAGGCTGGGGGAATTAGACTACCCTTTGAGCAATAAAGCTATAGACATCTTTTCTTCCTTCCAGATGAAATCAACTGGCCTGAAAAGGATGAGGCCCCGCCTCCAGATGCCCAGGATCTGATTACATTGCTTCTCAGGCAGAATCCGCTGGAGAGGCTGGGAACAGGTTAGAGAGCGTGTGTGTTGCTTTTGCCAATATACAAGAAATAATGTTCTCTGGAGCAATCTAAGGCTTTTGCTAATGTTTTCTGTGTAGGCAACATCTGTTAGTTGATGTTGGACATAGCTGCAGCACATTAGAGCAATATTATTTGGTGTGTGTGTGTGTGTGTGTGTGTGTGTGTGTGTGTGTGTGTGTGTGTGTGTGATATAGAACAGCATATATGCTAGGATAGGTAGCTAGTCTTTGTTTTTGTCTTTTGCAAAGCTGAAACTCTTAATTTGCTTCAGTAAATGCATCACCAGGGCATGTGAAGATCTTCTCCCAAAAAATGTGCACCATAAATAATTGGGAATGGAAAATCAGATGTGTGGGGCTCTTTTTGGTTATGTATTTAACATACATTCACGAGGATTGGACCCAGCAGGCTTCTATCCACAGCCTTTGAAATAGGTTATCAGTTCTCCAGCTGATGGCTAGAAATGAGGGCCTGGGGCTGAGCCATGCTGTCCTATCGTGGTGCTCAGCACCATGACCCAAGAAAGGGAATTAAACCATTGCCTTTGAAGATAGACAAGACAGTCCCTTTGTTTCTTGCTGATATCCCCCCTCCCCCAGCTTTACAGCCGGCAGTTATGTGCTTCCTTCCACCGCTACCCCGCGTTCCCCTCACCCTGATATTCTGGATAGACACACTTTAGACATACCGTGTCTGCCTATCTTAGTAAGACAAAAATGTTAAATGTACATGCACATATTCTAGACAGTAACCAGTAGTTTTATCAGTGAAAATTGTTAGTTTGATGGGGTCATTCTATTCTGAAGGCTCATTATAGTCAGAAGTTTCATTCTATTCCATCATAGTAGAAATATCAGGACAGGCTGAAGCCATCATTTCCTCCCCCGTGTTTCCCATAACAACCATTTGTGAGGATTGCAAATATTTCCAGCATTCTCCATGTTGAACCACAGATTCTTCTGGATCTGTTCTTGTTTACATATGGACTGCTGAAGGCCAGGCCCAGTGGCTCAAGCCTATAATCACAGCATTTGGGAGTTCGGGATGTGGTGGCAAAAGGATCAGCAGATCAAGATCTTCCTTGGCTACATGGTGCATTCAGGGCCAGCCTGGGCTATGTGACACCCTGTTTCATTAAAAAAAAAAGGAAGGAAGGAAGGAAGGAAAGAAAGAAAGAAAACCATACTGCTTACTACATTACATTAGAGCTTTAATGATAATACATTAAATCAGGGATCAGAAAATTATGGTCTATAAGCCCAGTCTGTCCAGTTCCCTGCTTTTATAAATAAGTTTTTTAGCACAGAAACACAATGTCTTTTCATGAGGCTTACCATATGTGGCTGCTTTCATGCTACAGCAGCAGAGCTAGGTGGTCATGACAAACTCTGTAGCCTGCAGAGACTAACAGCGGACTGATCAGCCTTTTCCATGGGATTTTTGCAGACTTCTTGTTAGCAAATCCAGGAAGGCTTAGATCTGGACTGACCTGGGAAATAACTATCAAGCTGAGCCCCCCGCTGGAGTTTCGTGGTCCCTACTGCCCCTTTCAGAGAATGCGTGTGCTTTACCTTGGAAGGGCATTGAAGACCTAGGTTAAGGGCACAAACTGGGTTGAGATGGGTAGCATCCAGATCTTGGCTGTGGGGCCAAGAGTCGGTTTCCTTTACCCATGCTCCCTCAGAGCATCACTGTGAGAGATGAGGAGGCCACCCAGGAGCGATTTCTAGAGCCAGGTGTGGCGCTTCCAGCGCAGTGTTCTACCTGCGCCCTCTTGAGTCCCGTACCTTCTGGGTAGGGGCCATGGCATGGCGGTGTTGCAACTACCTCGGAGCCCACTGTAATCCTCGAAACAAGTTTATTTCTTCCCATCTTATCTGCTTTTCCACTTGTCCGACCTGTCAAACAGACTAATTATTTCTCTCCTTCTGTGACCTGCCTTCAGATAGATCTGTGTGTGTTATGGTTCAGGAGATAAGAGCAGCTGTCAAAAAAAAAAAAAATCATGTCAAGACTGTGGAGGGGGCAAAGTCCTAAGGGAAGGTGTTGACTCAGTTTTGCCAAATATGAGAACCAGCTGCATCTCAAGATTGCCCTGGGATAGCACAAATATCTATTCAGATTCCCTGTTCAGCTGGCCCAGAAGAAGGGCTTCTATGCATTGACTGAAAAGTGCATTTAAATGGCTGGGTACACCCCTCCAAAGAAAGCTCAAAAGTTCCCTTCCTTCCCTGCAGTCCCCAAGGGCCAGTTTGGAGGTTTTCCACTTGATAGTCTGCCCTCTCCCTTCTCTAAGAATACGAAGATCTTTGGTTAGGCTTGACTTATGACAGGCCAGAGACTGTGGTCAGCAGGGTCCCTGTATACATATCTTATGCTGCAAGTTAGCTCTCCGCACATTTTCTCATTGACGGCTACTGTCAGTCTCGGACAGTTTGAAGAGCGAATTCCCTAGGAGAAACCCAAAAGAGACATTTAAAGGTCCTACTCAAGCTCTTAGAACATCCAGGAAGTGATTTCCAAACCGGCAGGGCTGACGTGATAGGTACCAGTCGGGCCTCGAGATTAGCGCTGTGGATCCTGGACCTGCCATGCTGCTTCCAACGTCAGTATCTTGTGTTCAGTGAATATTTAGCAGGCAAAATAATGCACTGTGAAAATGTGTGAAGGCACATTTGCCTGAGACACCGGAGAGGCTGAGGGAGAAAATAAAAGGCTGTAAAAGAGCATAATGAATGTTTAAGAAGCTTCCAGAAAAGAAGAGAAACTCAAGGGAGTGCAGAAGTGCCAAACTTGAACTTGCACTGCAGGACCTTGTGCTTTGCTGGAAACTGGATATACTCTTGAACTTGGAGAGAGTTGAGTGGCAGCCTGTCTCACTAGCCGGCCTTAGAGCTGTTCAGATGTGGCCCCAACTGTATATCAGCTATGAGCGCTTAGGGGTTTCTCTTCCTTGTAATCAGTCTCAGTTTCCTAGTGTGTAGGGACAAAATGCAATGATGTTTGTGTGGGGATCCAGTACATGGAACTAGCTGGACACCAAGGGACCAGGACAGTTCCTTCCCCTTCATTCCCTCCTCCTAGCACGCATGAACCATCTGCACATAGTTCTCAATACCCATTGTTTAGCCCTGAAATCATCTCCCCAGTTTTTCTTCTTTAATCTTTCCTTCTTTATCACTCCACGAGTACATGAGAAACAAAGCCTACCGATAACTGCCTCTCCCAGGTAAGGCAGAAAGGTCGTGTGAAGAAACTGTGAGCTACCTCCTCCATTTATGTGACTCACTGGGGAAGACCCGCTTGGCATTGTCCGCAGGAAGGAAGCAGAATTCTCATCAGCTTGAGTTCCATAGATGGGTAGATAGGAGAAGATGGGAGCAGTATCATCTGGTAGTGCCATGCAAGTCGTTGACCTTATAAAAATTGCTTCTCTGAGTGTAAATAGCCCAGAATTTCAGAGCAATGTCATTGACAGGGTCCCATGAGCGGCAGCTGCATTGATAGTTATGGTAATGAAGCCCTGGCTGGGCTAAGCATCCCGAGATACCTGTCATGGGCCTCTCATGGGGGCTTGACTGGATCTCGGTGTCATCACCCTGCAGAGGTCGCGGGATGGGGACGTGCGCAAACCCGCTTGGCATTTGTGTTTTGCTCCTCCAAAATAAAAAGAGCACCAGAAGGAAGTGACCCTGATAGGTGTTTTAAGAGGACATTTTTGGGGAGCTAAAAGAGAAGCAAGGGGCACAGTGGGCTGGAATGGGATGGGGGGGGTACCATAGAACAGACGTGCCAACTGGCTCAGCTATCCGGCCTAGGCAACAGCGGATCCATTCCAAACTCATGCAGGAGAAAGAGTTAAAGCAAGGGACCCGTGTGTAGAGGTGAGACTGTGTTACTGCATCTGAGCCTGCATACTTTCAGAAGTGCAGCCTTCTTCTTCTCGTCTGGAGGAGCTAGCCTAACATGTTTTGTTGCCTTTCTCGAGTTTCCCCAACTAAAACTGGTGCTGATAATGCCAACCCTATCTAGGGCTATTTTCCATTGCTTATGTAGATGAAACCCAGTAACTACAACACTGAGTATTGTCAGGGCAGGATGCCACCTAAGGGATTCTTACAGGAGCTCAGTGCTTAGATGGCTCTGGAATCCTCGCTTGCACTGCAGCAAAGCATTTCAGGATGAGATAGCATGAAGCAAAGCTGGGGTTCACTAAGGAAAGAACAGCCCCCCAAAGGCAGAATCAGGGCACAGGCATTAAGAAAAAGACACAAGTGTCCTAACAGTAGCTGTGTGATTTTGTGGCTCGGCGAGTTACAGGCTCAAAGGCTGTAATTTATAGCCAGATTGAAAGATTAAGTAAAGATCTGAAGCTATGAGCTGCTTTGCTTATTTTTCTATAAGAATTACCTTTTATGAATGAAATTACAGGGTGACTTATTAGAGGCTTATTTGGGCTTATGGATGAGAGAGGGGCACAATAAGGCTCAAATCCTAGGGTGTGAGTGCTTAAGGCATGTATTTTGGCCTTAATGATTTAAAGGCATAATTTGCTTGCTGCTGTAATACTTTATTTTTTTTCTTTTTTTGAGCTATATCTAGCAAAGGAAGTATTCCTCTTTGCAGAGAGTCTTTATCAGAAATTTGGATTGTGTCAGTCATATGGCAATTCTTGGCCCTCAGCCAGTACAAAACATAGACCAGATACTTGGGGGTTGAGGAACTCTTCCTTTCTGATGCCCCCTTCATGTTCCCTGTCTTTCTGTCTACTTCAGTACTTGGCACAGAATCAGCCCACAGATTCTAACTGGGAAGCCACCGATGCCGTGGTTTCTCAGTTTGGAACTGAGCATGGAGCTGAGAAAAGAACCTGCTCAGAATCTTGGCAGCATCTCATCCTGTGCTTTGTGAAAAACAGCCAGTTGTCCCTCTCGGCATGCCTTACCTCACTTTTTTCTTTCCCCTCCATTCCAGTGTTTTCAGAACACCTGGACCTGTGCACAGAGCTATGTCTCTCTACCACAGATATCATCCCTGTCTCAGCCAAGATCCCCAGCCCATCTTCTGTCTCCCTTGCCTTTCCCATTCTGCCCCTTTTGCACCCACACGAGACAGGATGAAAGGCATGGGGTGACAATCACAGAAAGAAGCATCTACATCCCCGCCCCCAGAAGAAAGCTTAACAGAGAGGCCAACCGGATGGACCTGTGATGTTCTATTGAGAACGTTCTTCCGGTTGCTTTTCCAGGCTCCCGTCTTCGTTCTCTCTCCCATCTATAGTGTGTGTGCTGGGGTAGGGTGCGGTCCTGCTCTGACCATGTGGCCGTCCTCTTTTTTAATGGGATGCTGAAATACATTTTTTGATGAGCCTTGCTATTCAAAGCCATTGTTTAAAATCATCAAATAAATAAAAACCTCTCACCAAACTGTGCTACTACGATTATCTGGCAAACAGAAGTCTCAACTTTAGCTGTCATGACTGATTCTGTGAGCTGAATTATAAATCTGTCTAACCAGTTTGTCAGTTCCTTACTTAAGGATCTAAACCACAGAATCTGATTCCTACCTATGTTAATGAGCAATCTAATAAAACTGAAAGGTAACCATTATATAATATTTAGGAAAAATTCATCATTATTAACCTTCCCTCCAGAAAAAAAAAATCTTGCTGTAAGCACATTTTTGTACCTTGTTAGGATTTTCTCGGTTTGTAATGAGCCATTCTGCTTTGGGCCAACATGCATCCATGTCCCCAGGTTCAGTATAATGTGATTTTAAGTGGCCATGTCATTAACCTATGAAAAATGGAAGAAGTCATAGAAAAACTAACAGAGAAAAGCTGCGCTATAGCAACCGCTATTAGCAAAATCAGATTTCCTGCTGATAAATTAGAGGAATTTTTTTTCAAGTTTTGGTTGTAGAAGCGGGTGGGAGTATGGATTCCATGGCTTCTTTATTTCTCTGCTAATAAATATTTTACATGTTTTGTAAGACTTGGGGCTTCCTTTTGCTGGGAGGATGGCGCAGCCTCTCACGTCTGCCTCGCTCCGCTCCCCTTCCAGGTGGTGCCTATGAAGTGAAGCAGCATCGCTTCTTCCGCTCCTTGGACTGGAACAGTTTGCTGAGACAGAAGGCGGAATTTATTCCCCAACTGGAGTCGGAGGATGACACAAGTTATTTTGATAGTATGTGCATTATCTGACATCCCTTGGCCTTTACTCGATGTAAAAACATTTCATCTCCAACCTTGAGTTTCCGATCTCACGCCCACAAATTCTAGAAAGCGCAGCGCTGCTGTGCTCCAGATAGTCATAGTGAAGTTGTCTCTGCTAAAAACGGAAACTCTCTGAGTAACCCAGACTGTCCCGAAACATTCCTCCGCAGCTCGGTCAGAGAAGTACCATCACATGGAAACGGAGGAGGAGGATGACACCAATGATGAGGACTTCACCGTGGAGATCCGGCAGTTCTCCTCCTGTTCGCACAGGTTTTCAAAAGTAAGTGAGGCGCGGCAGGAATCTGGGAGGGTCTCCACTAGCTGCCACGCAGCTCAGCTGGGCCAGCCTGTGAAAGCATCTGCCCTTTGTGGGGGGTGAGGTCCCTGGCACCCAGTCAGCTGGCAAGGATGGTCTTACGTTCTTGAGGATCAGGAGTTTCTACCCTGTAGACATAACTATGTGTCTCTGGAAATTAAGGTCTCACTTTGGGATTTTCTTGCTATTGTCTGCTTTGTTTTGAGGCAAAGACTCGAGAAGATTGCCATCTTTTCATGATGGCTGTCATCTGATTGAGGAACTTGCTTGCCTGCCCTAAGGTCTAGCCAAGAGCTAGGCTGTGGAGGCCACAGCCCATGTCTTTTGTTATATAAGAACATAGGCTTCGTGGTGCAGAGAGATCTCCCTCCATGTGACACAGAGCACAACACAGGAATAGTGCTTGGCTCTTGACATGAGCCGGTTGATTGTGGGAAGAGAAAGTATTTTGATCAGTAATTAATAAAGGTTATGAGTTATCTGGAAAAGGCGATCGGAAGCCACTCTAGAATTTTAGAAATCGTAGACGATAATAAAATTGATTCTTATGAAAGATGCCCTTCTATAAATTCAGGTAAGATTTAGAAACAAACAAAACTGATGTTTTAAGATAGGGTGGGAACCCAGAAATAATGGAAATAAACCCAGAGGGCACGCTGCCTCCCTTCTGCTGTTGTGGTTGCCATGGCATCTTGCATGATTGTTATTTAGGAATTCTATAGCAATTCGTGATTTTAAAGTGCTCTGTACAGTTTCCTAAGTGATTACCCAGAATACATCTGCAAATCAGCAGGGCCTACCCCTTTCTGTTTATAGGAACAACACAGGGGTAGGGATTTCCTTGGAGATGTGTGATGAGTGTGTCCTGACGCAAGTTTAACTACCATTCCGTGGGTGCTTACAGCCTAACCCATCCTCTAGCCTCTCAGAACCCACCTTAAGTAGTTTCTTTACCTTGAAAGGTATTTTATTTTTCCCAGCGCCCATTCTTTAACCTAATCCTTTTCTAGTGCTATAGATAGTGGGATGCCCAAAGCCCATTTTCATGAGAACAGTAAATAGCTGGAGGGTAACACCTGGGGGTACTCACCATGCTGGGCTCTCCAGACTCCCACTTTCCTCCTGTAATTCCTGTAAGAGAGTGGAGATTTAGAAATGGACTAAAAGACTGTTTGCCTAAACTCTAGCCTCCCACACCAGTACCTACCTGCCTGCCTTTAGAGGCTAAGCAAGTATACCTGGTGGTAACCTTCCTCCATCCGCAGAGCCCACCCGCTCCAGGCACTGATGCAGATCGACACTTTCTTCTCTAGTCACGCTCAATGCCAGTTTGTTTCTCCTCTCTGCTCCAGACTGGCAGGCATCAGACACTTTTTGTCTGAATTATGTTCTCTTGCTGGTTGCTGTTTTGAGCACGAAAGCAGCCTGAGAGCCTCGTTGATCCCGAGGCCCAGAAACCCAAGTCCATCTATGATTTTGCTTCGCGGACAGAGTCCATGAGATGTGGTGAAAGTGACGTGTCAGTTCAGCTCCGCGCTGAAAAAGCATATGTATCCACACCTCGAGCCTTTGCTCTCGTGGCCTGCGCACAGCATTGCCAGGGTTTCCCACACATTTCCCCAGTTCACACTTGAATTGTATACTCAATTCTTCTCCTTGCTCCTGAGACGTGGGCTCTTCCTGACAAGCTCTTTTTAGATGGAGCTCGTAAGCAATGGTCATTTGCCTCCCAGGTTTTCAGCAGTATAGACCGAATGACTCCGAATTCAGGAGAGGACAAAGACGACACCGAGGACAAAACCAAAAGCACAACTCTGCCGTCCACGGAGACGCTCAGCTGGAGCTCCGAGTACTCGGAAGTGTACGTGAGATTCCTCCCAGGGGCCCACATAAGCAGTGGCTGCTTATGCAGTGCATCCTAGACCCACCTCCAGAGTCCCCAGTACAGATCTCAGACTGCTGCTGAGAACATGTATTCTTCCCGTGTCCCCTGCTTGAGCTGACACTGGGTACCATATCGCCAGAACCGCTGTCCTAGACACACACTGCTTTATCTGGTTTCTTCAAGCCTTTGCTCTTCATGGCTTCCTGGGGCGTGCATGTGACTTGTTCTTGTTTTTAATTAAGGCAACAGTTATCGACGTCCAACTCTTCAGATACAGAAAGCAACAGATGCAAGCTCAGTTCTGGCCTGCTTCCCAAGCTGGCGATCTCAACAGAGGGAGAGCAAGATGAAGCCATCCCTTGCTCTGGAGACCCCAGAGAGGAGCCGGAAAAGCCAGTCCTCCCTCCCGAGGAGTGTACTCAGGAGGAGCCTGAGGTCACCACTCCAGCCAGCACCATCAGCAGTTCCACGCTGTCGGGTAAGCGGTAGCAGTGCCCACTCTGCTCGGGCTCCGTACCTACTGGGAAGTGACTGTCAGCACGCTGAGTCCCAGGCTTCACCCAACCAGACCATCAGGATGAGTGTCTCTCCCTTTGTAGACTTCTCCCGTGGCCCCACTTCTTTAGGGACAAACTCCTAAGAACTCAGGTCAGCTGTCTCAGCTGCATCCTCAGTGCCAGACCATACAGCATGCGGACTTGACTTCAGCTGGACCTCGGGGGCACTTGGACCGCCAGCCTCAGTGCAGTCCTCTGGTGGCAGGCAGAACCCACCCATTCTGGAGCATGTTCATGGCTGCCGATGCAAAGGCACAGCTTGCCGAGCTGCATCCGACTTAGAATGATGTGCAAGGTCACTCAGACCAACCATCACGGTGTCTTTTGAAAATGGCTCCAGTCATCTATGAGAGGAAACATGCAGCTAGCTTTTCCTCCAGCCCTGAGCTCTGTGGTAGCTTCTTTGAAGGAATTAGATTCTGTTAGTGGGTCATGTTGTACCAGACACACATCATTGTCCCAGTCGCTGGTCACTAACCTCACACTAACTATAGCAAAGGACTGGGACTGTGGAGCTCACAGGACACCAGTGGGGGGTGAGAAATCCCACCGCTCACCCCCACTCCCCCCGACCCCCCACCCCGCTGTCAGATTGCATCTAAACCACCACCTCTGCGTGTGGTTGACCCTTCTCGGTCTCTGGCAAATGGAGTCTCACATTCCTGAAGCTTCTCTTGCTGGGCTGAAGTCCAGAGTGTGGGCTTCTCTTGTGTCTGTCCCTTTGTGTGAAATAAGCTTCCTAACGACAGGACCATTGTCTTCAGCAGTTTTTAAAGTCCTTAATACCCTTAACCAGGGAGGTGCTTTCCTTAGAGGACCAGACTTCCACTTACTTCCCCCCAAATATGCCATTTAGGTGCCTTTATGACATCATTTGGTTTATAAAGGCTGATCTTTCTGCGAAGTAGAGTCGGTTAATGCTTTCTTTTTTTTAAAAAAAAAAGCAAAAGATGGCTCTGACTTATAATCACTGTAATGAATGTTTTCGTTATGCCATATTTAATATTGCTATATTAATAAGCATAAATGATTCCAAGAGTTCCCATCAACATTTTTAAACTGAATGTTCATAGTGAAAGGTCATTTTTATTTTTTCCTTTAATCACATTTTAAAAGAAATCTCTCAGGCTAGATTTTTAGCCTCCCTAAAATATATGGATCTGTGGAGCTTCATATATGCTTATGGTTGACCTGGGAAATTACTACTGGGTTTCTTTTTTCTCTTTTTGCTTCTCAGTTCTATTTCTATCCTGGGCAATCCCATTGACTCTAACTATAAAGCAAGATAATAGCATTGCAAAAATAGTGCAGAGCTATCTTACTATTGTAGGGCTCCTGACCATGGTTCTCTTACTATTCACATCAAATGTAGGGGGTTCAGTATTTCATATTGGTAGTTTTAGGGATCTCTATGTGCTTCTCCGTTGCCTTACCCTGAATATAGACTATAGTCACTTCCATTTAAAAGTTCTTGTCTACCGTATCTCAGTATCCCGAACCTACTCACTATCAGAAAGGTAGGAGGTAACGGGGGAGAGGAGGAGTCATGTCTAAGTACTTGATTGATTACTTCCATAATTAAAAATATCTGCTAAGGTCCTGCCATGCATTTTGATTAATAGTGTCAACCTACCTTTTCTCACCCTGTCTCCCCCATACACATACTAAAAATAATCAAAGACCTTGGGGGCTGCACAGACTAGAGAGATGAGAGTTGATTTGCTTACAGCCAAGGGTAATTAAGGAGCCTGAAAAGCGTGGCTGTAGTAAAATTAAATTTGTTGAATTTTATATTGCTCCACCATCAAAAAAAAGGAACCCTTGACATTTAGAGAACATTAAGGTGACATTAGGTGCCATCCGCAGAAGAGGCACTTGCTTATGTACAGTGCTGTCAAACAGGTCGGGGAAGGAAGCCGGAGGGATGAGAGAAGAAAATATTGGGCATTCCTGCTGACATTTGGGAAAGCACAGTTGGTGTCTGCTTCCCTTTTCTCCTTGACTACATTGTACTTGAACCCTTGAGAAGTCACAGTTGAGAAGTCATAGCCGCGGTGCTCAGATGCCCCCAGCACAATATTCAGTAAAAAGACACAGCTTTTTGTTTTGCACTTTTTGTTTTGCACTCTTCCCACCTGAACCCACTCAGAGAGAACGTGGCTCATCTGGAGCTTAGCCTCAGTTTAGAGCGAAGAAGTTTCTGGCAAGTGAAACGGTTTTGATCGCGTCCCCCAATCAGTGTATTTCTTCGAGGGAGCAGAATAGATGCTCTAGTAGATGAGAATGTGTTTCCCAGGAAGTGGGAGACTGCCGATAGCTGCCTTAAGATTTCCTTATTCTGTTGGCCCAGTGGGTGCTATTGTAGAAACCCCAAACCCTTTCATGTTTGTACAGCACAGCAGACAGCCACAAAGTATGCTGTATCCACTTCTACCCTCATGGCTTTCCAGGCCTCCCTGTAGGCAGACCCGCAAGCTGAATGCTCCGCCACAAACTAGAGCCAGACAAGAGCTGTGCAGTTGAGTGGGGTGTGTGTCATTTAGGTCAACTCTTTTTCTCACAGAGAATGCTGTGTGGTCAGCATTTTAAGATGAGCTGGCTAGTCATTCAGAAGACCATTTGCAATGTCGTCACATACCACACATGCTTCATCGATCTATGACATGTTTCCATTCTTATGGAAAGCCCCAATGTTCTATCTTAAGAGTAACCCCACTGTACATTAGGGGTTCCCGAACTTACAAAGAAAGGGGTGTCGTAGAGGCTGGAGGACGACATTGGGAGGGCCAGCATCTGACATAGTCTACGTTGAAAGCCAGGAAGATGGAGTTTGCTCCTAAGTAATGTGGTGACCCGTATCTTGTATCTCGTCCTTTGAAACTTACAAGGAGCTTGGAGCGAAAACAGATGTGGAAGGAACCAAGGGACATTTTGATTCTTTCTCGAACTTACACAACTGGGCCCATGTTATCTTGGGAAGTTGAGAGGCGGTGACACAGCCATGCCTACAGTGTAACTAAGTGGTATTACAGCCATTAGGAGCACCCATGCCAATCATTGGTCTAAGGGGAACATTAGTGACTTTATAGGATGGCCTCGTTGAAGGTCCATGGGAGGAGACTCAGAGTGTTCTGAAATACAAATTATGGAAAGCTATTCTCCTGGTTAAAGGGAATCCTTAAGGACTTGCTTAACTGTGTACAGGAGAATGAAGCCTGAATGGATAGCCCTTTCATCTCTGCCTCCTCCACAGCACTGCTCCCAAGCTGGTAGTTCTTCACATTCAGCCTGGCACATCTGGACTGAGGCGCCACGTGGAAGTATCTCCTGCTGTTGGCCCATCCTTTTCTCTGTCTCCCCCTCCCCCTCCCTTCTCCTTCCTCCCCCCTGAACGTGTTTATTCCTTCTTCTTTGTGCAGTTGGCAGTTTTTCAGAGCACTTGGATCAGATAAATGGGCGAAGCGAGTGTGTGGACAGTACAGATAACACCTCAAAGCCGTCCAGTGAACCCGCTTCCCACATGGCGCGGCAGCGGTTAGAAAACACAGAGAAAAAGAGACTTGCGGGGAAAGTCACAAAGTCCCTCTCTGCCAGTGCCCTGTCCCTCATGATCCCAGGAGGTAGAGAGACATCAACTCGCATGAAACTGTGTGATTTGTGCATGTGCCCCCCTCCCGCCTCCCCCAGCCTGGAATGCCAATTGAAATGCAAGATTGCATGAGGCAATCACCAATCACGGGTGGGATTGCAGGACAACTCTCAAGAACTTTGGCTTAACACACCCGTGAATTCCCCTTCCTGGACCTCGGGGCACCCAGAAAGCATGTGCATATCTGTCTCAGGTTACCTTCTGTATCTGGGGGTGAGACGAGAGATGTTTCCTTCCCGTAAAGGTGGATTTCATTTGTTAAAGACTTTTTTTTCTCCCCCACGAGCTAAATAATGAATTTCCCTCCCTGGGATACGTCTTCTGTAGACCCCGTACTGTGTGCGTACTTTCCAGAGCTGCTTGCAGCTCGAATGTTGGAAAGCTAGGTAGGCTTTGCGTCATCTAATTAATGAGGAAACGACACAGAATATAAGCCTCACCTTTCTGGAGATGGCAGAGGATTTCTTTATAGGAGGCATGAAATAAGATGTTTTCCCAGTCTTGTGGACTGAGCATCAAAGCTTTCTCCAGCTAGTAGGCAAATTAATCTGCGCCCAGTTTTGGAAAACCAGACCTAATTATGGTTTTGTGGGATTGCTGTGTTTTCCTATGGCTTGGTTTTCCATGTACTGATCAGTAAGTCTGTAGTAATTCCCTTGGCACACACTGATGGTCATGACATCACTCCGTAGGAGAGAATAGGATTGGAAACTAAATTCTTTCATGGGTGGCATGTATTGGGAAGAAGACAAACTATGTATCAAAGAGATTACTTACTATTTTATATTTGTACAAAAAATTGATATACACAAATGCTCTCAAAAGCATAACACAAATTCATTTGCTTGGAAACATCCCATTGAGCCCCATGAGGCAGGCTCCTATCTCTGTTGTCTGTATGGCCATGCGTACTTCAAAGGTGGCCCCTATGTGCATGTATAACAAGGAAGGGCAGTTCGGTGCAGCCTAGTCCACCTGTACAAGCAGGTGAAGTAGCCTGCGCTTTGGATAAAGAGGAATTTGCACCATTTGTAGAGGAAACGGAGACTACCATGTGGTTAAGAAGAGGAGTCCTGGCCTTCCCACAGCTTGAGTCTTGAGTATCTGCTCTGTCCTCTACTCGCACATCACAGGGCCCCATCCACCAGTGACCTCTTTTTACCTGACCTTTGGATTTCACAGGTCCGTATCAGTAAAGAGAATCAGTGTGTCCTGTGAAGTCAGAGAACACTCCCAGGGATACATATAGCTTTACTCTGTGGGGACAACAGAAGACTCAGAGCACATGTGAGATGGATGCTGTCACCTCGCTGAGACCCCATTAAGTCTCACCATGTCCCCGTGTCTCTGATAGCACCTGGCTGCCTTCTTCCAGCCAAGTTCACATTCAAACCTCAGCATGCTCTATAGATAATTGTCTTCTCAGAACACACACAGTCTCATGACTAATTAGGATCCACATGCATTCGCATAAATAGAACAGTGCGTTTGCTTCTTAATTTGCACTGACTGCTATAATACAGTACCTTATACTCATATAAAGTATAAAGAGTAGGATCTATTGTTCATGGCGGTATAGATGCCCAGTCAAGGCCTCTGGTGTGTGTTCCACATAGACAGCCTCTCTTAAAGGCTCTCAGGACTCTTCCAGAAACATGCCAACCCCATCGCCAGAGGCAGAGTCCTCTTGATCTAATTATTTTCCAGATATTTCTCCAAATACCATTACTTTGGGGGTAAGGTTTTAGTCTCCGAGCCTTGGAGAATACAGATGCTCAAACCCAGACGATTGCTTCTGAAACAGACTAGAGATGGCATTTGGGGACATGAGCTGCTTTGCTCCTAACATGTATCTGGCCCTCCTTACCCTTGAAGAGACCTTATTCTTGGAAGCTACCATGTGAAGAGAAGCAGTTGTAACCGCAGTCATTCGTTTGTAATTAAGTTTCTCAATTGAAATGTATCAATAAGTTCTAACTCAGTAATGTTGCAAAGAGCAGCTGGTAATTGATTCTTGTTTTCCTGCCATGCGTGTGTTTGGAGAATCATGTTAAATTGTTCAGTATAGGATTTGGAGAAGAGTATATCTCATTATACACTTAGTTTACTCTTATAACGAGACACTATAAATACATGCATCTATAAATGATTTATTTCACCGAAATAATTTAAAGAATCTAAAACCAGAAAACTCTGTGTAGAAAAACTAAAAATTCTTAATTTTAGAGTATTGAGAAACATTAAACAAGAAAGACTTTTGATGGTCCTTCAACAGGCTGGAGTTTCACATCCATGGTAGTTACTGACATAAGCATTTTCTACACAATTCTTCTTTTGCCATTAGAAACAAAGGGGTCTGCTTTATGACCACTCTTTGTTTCCCTAATTGTGGTGGGGCTTCCCATGGGAAGGGGGGCTGTGCCCTGGATGCGCTTTGATGCCGGCTTCTTTGTTGCAGATATGTTTGCTGTGTCTCCACTGGGAAGTCCCATGTCCCCGCACTCCCTGTCTTCAGACCCTTCCTCTTCGCGGGATTCCTCCCCTAGCCGAGATTCTTCGGCCGCATCTGCCAGTCCCCACCAGCCCATTGTGATCCACAGCTCAGGGAAGAACTATGGATTTACCATCCGAGCCATCCGGGTGTACGTTGGTGACAGTGACATCTACACAGTGCACCACATCGTCTGGGTAAGAGCAGAGATCTTTCTTGTCAGTTTTCCTTCCCAAGCATCCTAGAGTGCCGCTATTGACTAAAGCGTAGATGATGCTGATGTGTTTCCCGTTTCTGTGCATGTGGGACCCCATTTCCTCTTCCTTTTAGTGTTCTTTTCTCTTCCTTTTTTTTTTCTTTTTTCTCTCTTTCAAGACAGGATTATTTTGTGTGTAGCAACCCTAGCTGACCATCCTGGAACTCATTCTGTAGACCAGGCTGGCCTCAAAGTCGCAGATATCCACCTGCCTCTGCCTCCTGAGTGCTAGGATTAAAGACATGCACCACCACCCAGCTCTTTTCTCTATTCCCGTGGTAGAATCGGGTGTATCACCAAGCAGTCAGTTTTCGTAACTCTGCCCAGTTTCTATAATTGCTTGCCCATTCTTACGTAGCAATCAGGTAAACATGAAGACCATCTTCTTCATATCCCTTTATTATTCTTTAAACGTGGGTTGTTTTATTTTAATTACTTGTGTGTCTGGGTGTTAATGCCCAGAGGTCAGAAGCATTAGTTACCCCAGAGCTGGAGTTAAGAGGCAGTTGTGAACCACCTACCATAGGTTCTGGGAGGTGAACTCAGATCCTCTGCAAGAGTCGTGCCCTCAACCGTGGGCCTTCTCTCCAGCCCTGTCCTTCACATGTCTTTCTTTTCTTTCTTTTTTTCCCCCTAACTTTGGTTTTCAAAACTCATTCTTGCTCACTTGAGACAGTTTTAGGGAAACATGGGAATTATCCTGTTTTAGAACAATATTGGAACAAGGGCCATACCTTTTTGACTTCTTAATATGAGCTTAGACCCACTCACAAGGTGATTCAGAGTATTCTGACAGGTGAAACAGTAGGTGTTGGGGTCTGTCATTTGTTTGCTTATGAATACGTACTCTCCTCTTTACAGAATGTAGAAGAAGGAAGTCCCTCCCACCAGGCTGGACTGAAGGCTGGGGATCTGATCACGCACATCAATGGAGAGCCGGTTCATGGACTCGTCCACACGGAAGTCATCGAGCTTCTGCTGAAGGTACTGTTCTCCTATGTCCTGGCCTATAGAGGCAGTAGATAACCCTAAGGAATAAGCACTGTGAGGTCAGGTTCTCTGTGGCCGGGGCCTGGAGTCCGTCTCACCAGTGGAAGGGATGGGACGCAGTACTCAGAAGTCTGATATGATGCAAAGCTATTGTGAGCTCTCTGGGTTCGTGCTGTGAAAGAAAGGGTGTCCTTGAACCTGGACTGCACTATATTTACTTCTCGCTACCAGTCTTACAGAACACGAGTCCTCCTTGTTTGTATACCTCACATCGTAGATCCCCTGTGGGAGCCAGCAGTTCTGAAGGTGAACCTCAGAAGACGTTATTCTGCTAGAGGAGGAGACAGAGTACTGTCCAACTGGGAAGGCGGATCTAGAGGTTCTGTTTCAGGGCTGGTGCTCCTCTCAAAGACAGAACTTCAGATGTTTTGATTGACATGTGCTCTAGATGAGGAGTGGAAGGATGACCCGAGCAGTTACGAGGCTCCTCCCCTCTCATCTACATAGCTAAGATACACTTTCATGGGGATCAGTTCTTAAAAGGAGCATCTAAAGGAGCCTGTGGCAGCTCAGATCCCAGAGAGCAGGAATATAAATGGAGAACCGTGTGCACATTCCCCCCCTCAAGCGGCTCTTCCGAGAGTCCTAACTGGCTACGTGCTAACTCCAGACTATAAAGTCAAAGATACTAAATTAAGTGAACCTGAATTTGATTTTTAAATTTTCTCAGGAAAGGGCTGCTTTATCAGAGGTGAGACTCATAGTCCCTTCCTTACGCATTTTTTGGGCAACCTCTGACTTCATGACTAACCAGAGAGATTTGAGCATAAAAAAAAAAATTAGGGAGACAGAGGATAAATGTGTACAATGTAAAACCCTTGTGCATGGTTTCAGTAATGTTTGAGACTGCGTAGATATTGTTGATGCAGGGATTGAGAGGTGCACTTTGCTCTCAGAGAGTACAGGGCATGCATATGAGAAAAAGAGCCTAATTATCCCAGGCTGAAGCAGAGAGAGGGACATTGTGCTGTTGGCGAGAACATTCTAAGAGCAGGGAGTAGCATGCCAGGGGAGCGACACCGCTGTGGAAGAAAATGAGGACTTTGAAGGCACCAGCAGAAGAATGGATGTGCAGGTCTTTCCAGAACAGATGCATTTAAATGTCTTTCCTGGTCCCTTCCCTGTCATTTCCCAAACTCAAGCTATTTAGAGTCTGGCCCAGGGTCCAGAAGCAATAGTCTCTACATCCTAAGGTCCAGGGTGAGCGAATAGATAAAAAGTTATTGCTCTTGATTAATTCACAGTATTAATTTTTAAGAAAATAGCCTTGGCTTTAGGGTTCAGTAAGTTTATAGAGTTAAAATGAACCACAGCAGCCTCCTTTTTGTCCAAATGTGACATGGGAGGACAGCTACCACATAGCTATGGCATCCCCCTTTTTTATCCAAACGTGACAACGGGAAGACAGGACCACATAGCTACAGCATCCTCCTCTTTTGTCCAAACGATG